TAAAGCTGAGGTACTTACCTTTTACTTTCTCATAAATAATCCATGCTGGTTTTCCCAACAGAAAGTATCTTGTAAAAGTAAAATCTCAGACACACACCTGCTGTCTAATATTTCTGCATAAGAGCCCTGGAAGTTATCTAATGCTGATTGGTTGAGTGAGAAACTCTTTCCCACGTTTCAGTCTGAAAAAGCAAAGATGTGACATGCCAAAAACTCATGCTTGAAAACTAAGTTAGATAGATTATTATTACTTGGTTCCCATTGATGTGGTTTCAGAGCTTTGAAACCACAGCTTAAAGCAAAATAGGGGTTTTCTGTGGGGCTTAAATTAGTTATTAGTAGCAGCAATTTTCTATATAGAGGCAGCTGTTGTATGAGGTAGCAATCAGATTGTACATAAAGTTTGATAAATGTCCCTTTTTTGAACATGCCTCTTGACAACAGACGCAGACCGCTGTTTCTGCCCGTGTGTCTGGCTTGCACAGTTGCCATGGTTACCCGCCTCCGAGATGCAGTGATATGTTCGACCATAGATGAACCAGGGCTGTCGGGGCGAGGGATAATGATGCCACTTTTTCCTCTTTCCTCATTCACTCACATAACAAACACCGGATGATCGCTATGACAACCGCATTTATATCATTTTAGTTTCGACATGTTTTGAAGTCTGCGTAATTAAACTGAAAAAGTCCAAAATGGGAGAGGTGCAACATCTGGTTGTGGGTACTACTGCTTCATGTTTGACATTGTACAACATAATGAAAAGTTAAATTGTGGACATGTAATACAGAAGAACCATAGACTGTGTATAGATGCACATTGCTCAATGAAGCCCAACAGGGAAGCGCTCCCATGGCTCCTATTGACTTTCATTGTAAAGTAAACTCCTCAAGCTCAGTAACTATTTGTGTCGCACTCACCGTTTTGGACTTAAAAATCTGTGGTGTAGCGCTACCTATGATCCTAGTTATGAGCCATAATGAGAACCATATAAGGATTGACCAATCGGATGCCTTAATTTACGTGGGGAAACTCCAGCTTTCCTTGCCAACTCTTTTGGCAACACCAGGCTAACCCCGAAGGAACATATGCCCATATAAGGGAATCGGCTCCACCTAGCTTATGTTCAGTCTTCAGTTCTCAGTTCAGGACTCGGTCAGTCCACTCCTAATATACGGTCTGTGGCAGCCATGTGAAACTCAGGCTTGTGGGCCAAATTCGGCCCACAACCCATTATTAGTGCCCCCTAAAGTCATTTTCAATTAATATTATTAACTTGCATAATTGATGGTTATGGGTGAGCAAGGCCTCTTATGCATTATCTATTTTCTCATCAAAACAACTTGATTCAAACATTTTAATTAGAAGTTAAATAATTGAATATAATCCAGTGTGTTTGAACCAAAACTGGACCAAATATAAAGTTAATCTAAAATGTAATCAAAATATTATTAAAAGTCATGTCACATAAAAGTCATGTCAAACTACCTCCATAATGTAAAAAAACAATTATAAGAACAAGAATGTTTGTGCCAATCCAATCAAATTAGAATGCACATTTCATAAACAATGTTTCCAAAGTAGTAGGCAGTAAAATATTAAACAAGCAAAATGCATATTGTTGTGGAGAAAATGACACATTTAGCTTCTCGGGCCATCTACTTTCCTGCTGGATGAATGTTCTTGTCTACAGTCTGAACTCCTGCTGTGTATGAATAAAACATATCTGCCTTTTTGAGTTTCTTTCAATACATCAACATATCCTCGGCCTGTCAAGTTCAATTGAAGTCTGTTGAGTGCGACTCTAAATGACGTCCCAAAGACCTGCTTAAATACATGAGTTTACTCTCCGGTCTTTGGGCTGCATATCCCGCTGTGCCACGTCTCTGGAGCGCTCACCTGGGGTTATGGCCGCTAAATTTACACTCTCAATTAGGAGCAATTACCGTCAGGACGTGGGGCCCCTCCGTGGATTCACAGCACTCACATGCACCGTAACAGCCCCGGGTTTAGATCTGTTCCAAAGTTCACCAAATACCTGTCCTGATTTATTCAAACTATTTCATGGGTCTCGCCATTTCAAACAGCTTCTTTTTCTCTGCAGTTTACTCAAACACATATTACTGGTATCTTTGCAGCGTTACAATTGTCGCTTTGTACTTCTGCCACTTTATCACCTTGTAACACTGGTCACTTTATTGTGTGTGTGTCTGTATGTATATGTGTGTATGTGCGCAACAATATATATTCTGATCTCCATATTACTTTCTTTAATGTGAGCCCTTTTTGACTTATGCGGGATTTGTTATCAATACAATTTAAGAACTATATCTTTGACTGATAAGACATTTGTATTTACCCTTTAATCAGCCAATTTATATTACGTTTTTTTAAAGTTCATGGGTAAGGAAGAACATTTATTTATTCAGCACAATTCATATTAGATCAATGTGCTTGTCAAGACATTTAACAGGTATAGTGACACACTACAGATTACTCCTGAATAAGATCAGTGTCTCATCTCATTTTAGGCAGAAAATTTCATTTATAAGGACCAAGCAAATTGGATGCATGAAGATGCCAGACTGTGAAGGACTGTATAAACAACTATACGGATTTCAGGTCATACCGGTACCAAAATGGAATCGATTAAGATCTTTTAATGCAGGAGTAATGGTGGTTCTTTTCATCGACAGGATTTTTATTATTTCAACACATTCTCCTTGTAACTACATCCATAGTTTAACTCAAACTACAGTAGAACACTATACTACAAAACTCTGGATATTCCCGATGACTGAGTGGGGAGCCTTCAAAATAAAGTCCTGGGTTTGATTTGGCTTTTCTGAGTGCAATTTGCATTTTCTTATGTGTCCTCCGGGTGCTCTGGTTTCTCCTACCTCTAAAAATATGAACAAAATCTCCTTTCTCTCTGGGGCCAGGACTCCCTGAAAAAGAGCTTGTGAAATCTGTGACTTTCTTAATTAAATAAAGTTCATTATATAAATAAACAATACTATTTCAAATATTACTTCAATTCCCATGTTGCTCCTTCTTTAAAAAATGTGAAATCTTGAAATGCAGAAGTACAGAATGTTGTGGAAAAAAACATGAGAGGAAGCAGACTGGCATGAATGAGCCAAAGGTTCCTTAAAACGAAAGTATTCTTTTCTCCAAATCATGTGACAAGGATTTCCCCGTTTTAGTCATGCAACCAGCCTTCAAAATCCGATTTCTTTTATTGCCGTTTTAAGAAACAGGGAGTCCCAAACTAAAAAAATGATTATGTTGCAAACAAGTACAAGAGTTGTCAAAAAATGTAAAGGCATGCACTAAACATCTATCTAAAATTCAAATATATGAATAAACAGTAGACTTTTAACAGTACAGATTATCAATACATCTGCAGAGGTGTGAGATTATAAAGTAGCACCACAGAACTAGCCTGGCCTTAGCCATCCGTACTCTCCGCTCAATTATCATTTCCCTGCATGTAAAGAAATGCAATTTGTACTATGGTGTGGTACGACCAGGCTACCACAGAACCATCAGTGACGCCGTTTTGGATCCCAGCAACCTATCACCTGCTCCATATCTTTAACTTTAGTATAATTTTAGATTCAGATTCAGAATACTTTATTTATCCTACCTCCTTTATACAAAAAGTAATGAAAAATAGATCAAAAAAGGCACAATTTATCTTAATATGAGCACATTTTCACTGACTTAAAACAAGATTTGCCAATGGGACAAGCTAAATTATCTTGTTTTAAAAAGACACAAGAAATGTCTCCCTTGGAATGAGAAAAAAAAGCAACAGTTCTTGAAATTAGACTAAACGCCTTTGTCGCATTGCCCCACTAAGAAACAAAAATACAGGAAATGTCAAACATTTAAAGGGATATAAAGTGGAGGAACATAAAACAATGATACAAACTCAAACACAAACTAAAGTCCATATCTCCAACAACATTTTATGGACCTAAGACTTTACTCACCCATTCATTCAGCCATTCTTACTAAAAATAAGTAGACTTTTTTTTGTTCGTCTCCCAAGAAATGTGTCATAGTTGGCATGTCAGGAGCATAGTGCCAAACCAAGGACGTGTTGAAATCTTATGAATCTGACAAAAAGTGCGTCATCATCAGTGATTCAGCGGGCCCATTTTAATCTTGTTTTTGGCTTAGTTTCCCGTTTCAGCATGCATTAGCGGCCAGGATCTTCTGAAAATTTAAATAATGTGTGACATAATTGTTTAGCTTCTATCCTTTAATATCTAGTTTATGTAAAGGTTTAGCCGACATTGACCTATTCCAAAGAAAAAGAACTAACTGTAAATATGTTTACATTTTGTTAATCTATGGACATTACCCAGATTTTATCCAGTATTCTCACACTTCAACATCACAAATTTTGTGTTTTATGACAATAATAAAAATGCATTTTATTTATAATGCACTTTACGTTTTCAAACATACTTCATACTTTTTAAGAGTTTTTCCTTGTCGATGCAGGAGGGTCTTGTTGGACAGTTAGTGTCCAACAGAAAGGATTGGTGATGATCAGGACACTTTAGCATTCTACAACATGTATGGACATTTTCTTCTGTGTGTGCTTTATATTCTTCATGTGTTTTAACTGTTGATTCTCTGACCTGTGTTGGTGATTTCAATGGTTTTGTTAAGTCCTCTGAGATGACTTCTGTTGTGACCTAGGGCTATACAAGAATAAATTGTATTGTATTGTATTGTATTCTAAATGCTACAGCAGGTTAAAAACACAATCAAAACCTCATAATAAAACAAATATTTAGTGTATTTGTTGTGGTTCTTCAAACATTTAGCCATTACCTGATAGTTCACAATCTCTTTTGCAAAATATCTTTGAAATGTTTTTTTCTCTTGCAATTTTCCAGAAATCTTAAGCATTTTTTTTTTTTTTTTTTTAAGTCAATCCTCTTTTAAGTGAAGGCCTGTGTCTGAATATTTGTCATTTTTAGGTCAGGAGCGGTTCGGGAACATGACTAGAGTTTACTACAAAGAGGCTGTGGGTGCGTTTGTGGTCTTTGACATGACCAGAGGCTCCACCTTCGAGGCTGTGTCGAAATGGAAGCATGATTTGGACAGCAAAGTGAAACTGGCCAATGGAAATCCTATCCCATCTGTGCTGCTGGCCAACAAGTGCGACCAGAAGAAGGACAGCACCAGCAACGCGGCGCTAATGGACAATTTCTGCAAAGAGACGGGGTTCCAGGGCTGGTTCGAGACTTCTGCCAAGGTGAGCTGAATCTGAACTGTCCAGATATTGTATTTCCTATCACACAAATGCTGTTATAAGGTTTAAACCAACTATCAAAAAACATTTTTTAAAACAATATGCAATAAATAATTTAAAAAACTTTACAATTACAATAACCATTTATCGCACCAAAAACAAATGAACCTACACCCTACACCACGGATGCCAAAACTGTTTCCAATTGGTATCTACTTTTACAGCTTTGCAAATGTTTTATAATGTAGCCAACCCATGTAAGTAATGTAGATTTGTCTTGATTCCTTTTTTGTTTTGTTGGTCTTAATCATTAGTAAACATACACATACAACTGGTGCATCATTTCTGTTCTACTGGCTGATTTTGACTGTTGCATTTGGCCCCCCTGCCCAGCGCCCGTGCTGTGAAAGGGCTTGTCTCTCCGCAAACATGACGTAAAACTCTTTCTTAAAACTCCTGCCTGTCTCCATGGAGATGTTCATATTCTCAAAGAATGACAAAACAATTATTTTTTTTTTTTCTGGTTTCTGATTTTTACTTTTTGTGATGTTAGGAGAAGGTGTGGCTGATAAATGGTGCTGATTTTTTCCACACCTCAGTTACAATTGGCAAAAACTAGGTCAAACAGAAACATTCATGAAGACGCTCATTAGCTGGTACTTTTATTACCATATAGTAACAACACTTAATTAAGTTTATTAGATAGTTAATGGAAACTCTTAGTTACTCTTAAAATTTGTAGTATTCAAATTTTACATAATCACAAAAAATGCAGCTAGTTCATGTCTACTTGCGCGATCCATTATAATGTTGCAGAGACACGGTTTTCTTCCAGTCTGAGCCCTCCTCCCTTATGTAATGACTCAAAACACATGTGTGGATGTAATATTGCTGGAATCGGTTTCATCAGCTCTGTCTCTCTTTCTTTTTGTATAGGACAACATTAACGTGGATGAAGCGGCCCGTTTTCTAGTGGAGAACATATTGGCCAATGACAAAGGCTTGCCGTACGAGGAGAGCAACGGAGACCGGATTAAACTGGACCAGGAGACTGTGGCGGCCGAGAGCAAATCGGGCTGCTGTTGACATTCACTTTATTCTCTCACCCAAACCAGTGCACCTCCCCTCCACAACGGCCCACGGAGGAAATATAAACAATGTCATTTATCCACTGCTTCAGGAGGCTTTAACAGTGCCCTCTTGATCGCCAAGCTTAAACTATTGGTCACAAGGCAAACACTGTTATCAAGATTTGTACCACTCTGAAATATAAGACTGGACTAGCCTGGAAACATAAGCAACACTAGTACATAGATCTTTTTCTTGTCAACAAATTTCATTGTGAATAGCTTTTGAATAATATTTAAGGGCCCTGGACCCAATTCTGGCCCATGAGTGAGTAGCATGGTTCAATTTGAAATGTTAGATCTACATTCTTGTTCTCATTTGCTTTTTTTTCCTAACAAAAAGCTGATTCTGAAACACGCATGGTGCTGATTGCGTATTCCTCTTGTTAAACTCAGATACGAAGCCTTGTCTGTGATGGTCTGTTTTAAGTTTACTTTTTACCACATTATGTAAAGAGCTATACTGTTTTTTTTTTTTTTTTTTTAAATGGGATAACTATCTTTTTGCGAATGCTGTTTGTGTCATTTACATAAGGTTTTGAACAGCAGCCGTTCTGCATTCTCTACTGTTAAGAAAATATGGGGACATCTGGTGTGTTTCCTATTGTGTTATGTTCTTGCATTGTGTAATATAAAAATTAATACGGAAGCACTGTGTTGTACATAGGAATTGGAATTTGGTTATATGATTGGAACTGGCGGATTTATTTAACATCGGTCAGACTGAGATTATGTAAAAATGCCATACATCTTCAATATGAAAAATAAAATATTTTAACTCATGTTGTATTTGTTTGAATCTTGCAAAATAAGAGAAGAATAGGGCAATTATTAGGCAAGTTTATTTGTGTAGCACAATTTATACGCAAGGCAACTCAAAGTGCTGAACAGAATAACAGAATAAGATAGAAACAGTCACACAAGGCATAAATAATCACAGTACAACCCATTAATATGTAAAGCCTGAGCATATAATTAGCACAACAATCAGAATCACGTCTGCATGTTTCATTTAAACGTTTTCATACTTTTAAATACATTTAAATCATTACTGAAATCTGTTGGGTTCTTGTGTAGAGCGGCAGAAAGAGGCCTGTGTGAGACATGGACAAGGCCATGTGACTTCACTCATGAAATGCATTATGATAGTCATCTGACCTCCTCGTAGTTACCCTACTGGAAAAGTAATGATGTGCACGGTCACATCATGCGTCCATTGTAATAGGCTCAGCAAAAATGAAGAATACTTATTTTCTTATGTCTAAGTGCCATACTGTGAAATACTGTACATTGTCAAACAAATATTAACAGAGCAGCGTGGTGACTGAGAGGGGAGCACTCTGGACTCGCAGCAACAAGGTCTGAATGAGTCCCTAGAATTGTCCAAACGTATAAATGATGCAATGAAGAAATAACAATGCTTCCATTTGATTTTGTTCAATAATAAGGTTCTCTGGATGAATCATCTATGTCCTGGTCTAAATTAGAATAATGCTGTTTTTAGATTAAACAACACTTTAAATCACGGATGTCCCAAATGACTACACAAATAGGACTTGATCCTCACATCCTTCACTGTCCCTGCACTGTAATCAGTATGGTAACCAAGAGCAACAAGTGATGAGACTTGAGGCCCCTCCCACAAACACTGCGCTGCTTAGCAACGGGCTCACGGAAGCAAACTTCCAGTGACGGAAAGAACGCTCGACTTCATTTAATTTAAATTATTTGCTGCTTTTAATGCAATGTCAAAACTTAAAGGAAAAAAGGAAGCTTCGTCCAGCAAAGTCTCTATAGCTGACCGGAAAACCAAAAAGTGAGTGGAAGAGTGCAAAGACTGAGCTAGCATAGCACCGTGGTAGCTGTGCTTAGGTGGTAACTGTGGTAACTGTGCTGTTGTGTCCAGTGGAGGCTCCGCCGTCGCGTCGAGCGTCACTTCTTCCAGCGGCACATGGTCGAGTCTGTTTCTCCTTTGGCCAAAATGGAATGAAATTGAAATCAATAAAGAAAACTGGGAGTCGAGTAAAACGGATGATGGGAAACCAGCAAAAGGATCAAATACAAATATGAATGTAAACACGAATAATACAACAACAGTAAACTAGTCTTTACTTTGGCCTCTGTTGGTACTGGTAACATGGTGGTTTTATGTGTGTTTTTGATTTTTATTTGAAGCCATTCTTTGAAGATCCAGAAGGTAAAGTAATCCTTCCCACTGTTCTCAAGGTGCACTCATGGAAGCGACCTAAGGAGTTCATTATTACTGACAATTCAAAGGCAAGTGTTCTTGTTTTTCCTTTAGTACATTCAAGAATGAATGTAACTGATAATAGATAAACACAGGTGTATTAAATAAGCTACATGTTTTCTTTTAGACTCCAACTGTGGTTGAAAATCACAGTACCTTTGACCTGGTGTCCTCCAATGAGCATCTAATGTGCAGTGAGGTTGGTTTGATCATTTATTCAGATCCTATTTGGTTTTTGTCAAGTGGTATTGACAATGTCCCGTGTCACACTTGATCTACAGAAATAAACGACTGGGCATTCCAATATTTGCTGTTTTTTACTAAATCATTGAGAAATTCAATAGTGATATTGATAGTTTCTAGATGTGTTGTTGCATAGAACCAGCATAATGACTCTGACTGTGGTTTTATGAAGCTCATGAGACGGATCCTCAGTGAGATCTATATATTCTGGACCCACTGTCACAGTACGTCTCCAGAACAAAGAGAATGGAAGCCCTGGGAGCACATCTACTCTCTCTGCAAGGTCGTGAAAGGTCATGTCCCCCTCTTCAATGAGTACGGCAAATATGTGGTCAAACTCTTCTGGATGGTAAGGCCTTCTCTTTTCAGTTCAATTCACTTTATATTTGTGTACCCCTAAATCAGTTTCAAGCACTCAGTACTGATTGTGTGTATGTGCTTATTCTTTATTATTATCATTATTCTGTATATATTTATGTATGTAGCATGTTCATACTAAGATTTCTTGAATAAAAAGTAACTAACTAACTTACTAACTAACAACAGTTATCTTAGAAGACTAAACAAAACCGTCAAATTCACCAACACAGATCAGAGAATGAAACAGTGCATACACAACATATGCAATACTTAAAAAACCACACAGAGCCATTTGTTTACAAATTTTTTAAGATTTGTGCCAATGTGCATAAAAGCATCACTTGAGACATACTGTACATGAGTCATGCTTAATATATCAATATTGTAGTGACAATGTGGTCAGAACAAATGCACTCACTTCTTCAGATAATAATGTGAAGCAGTAATAAAGGTATAACAGGTACAAAATATGCTGGTCAGATATCACACTAACATACTAACCCTTGACCTTCTGCTTTCAAACAGATTCAAAAGGGGAAAAAACAGACAGGTTGTGAGGCTGTTCTCCTCTTTTTTCCAGTCATCGTGTGCCAAACCTTTCCCTTTCCCCATAGATTACAATCAATGACACCAGGCAGTTTTCCCTCTCCAGCACAGCAGCAGCAGAGGGAGTAGAACAACAACTGAGTTCAAGAGGAGGGGGAAGGGATAAGAAATCCTCATATCATACTCTTTTCCCAAAGTGCTTAGACTTCCTATGTATCCTGATGAGTAGATAAGGCTTATCTGCAGTCAGCTGCTTAGTGAACATTTCGCCAAGTGGATAGCTGCATCTGTAGTGCTGTCTGAACGAGATGCTCTAGAGTATGTTTGCTCTACAATGGGCTAATACATTCAAAAGTAAGCAATTATTTTATCGGTGATACTGAGTGGGACACCATGACTTTGTTTTGAGAATCTAGCATGACACAACAGTGAGCAGGAATCATCCTCATGCCAACCATAGCACGCGAACAGATGGCTTCAGAGATGGCACTAAGCATCCAATCCCCAACCCCCCATCGTGCTTCATGCCAATAGGCTTTGTCCCTCTGATCCTTCATTGTTCCTCAATCTTGTATTATTCATAATTTTTCTTTGATCATAAAAATCCTGCTATTTTCATCCAATTTGCTCTATCCTGCTTTCTCCCGATGTTTCTAACTTCTCCCCTCGAACAAACAGTTCCAGCTCTGCAAATATGACACTTTGACAACTTTATGAAAGACTAACAAGAAAAAGATTGAGCATCCTCACTAGTTTGAGGGGATTACTTTGATATAAACAACTCACAGATGTGAAGATATTTACTTTTGTCGTCTTTGGAGCTCTATAACAAGATGTGATCATTGACCACAGCCGACACAGCGTATGGTCGCTTACATCACATTAGACATGAGAAAATATATGGGTTAGCCAATTCCATGAATACAGCTGTAATATTATAAGAATTGCTGGTACAACCATATAAAAGAAAAGGCAATGTTATCCGTGAGGGAGGAGATTTTAAAGTTATGCCTTCTGTTAATAAATCTGTTCCATTCATTTTCCTCCAGCGGCATTTTATTTCATTCAGTTGCCTATTCATGAACATTCCTATAAATGTTCATGAATATGCATTTGAAGTAACTAAAATAATCATTCATTTGTAGCCGACAAAGAACTTGTGTGTAAATCATATCTATGATTATAAAGGTGATATTGATATTCAGTTTTATTTTTGGGTTCTTTTGACAGACATAAGTTTAGATTTATTACCTTGTTAAAAAAGGAAACAAAAAAAACATTTTAACTCAAGACAAAATTAACTTCTATAAATTTCTATGCACGGTGGTACAGTACAGCGGTTAGAGCTTATGTTTCACAGCAAGAAGGTCCTGGGTTTTGATTCCACCTCCAGGCCTTTATGTTTGAAGTTTGCATGCTCTCCCCGTGACTGCGTAGGTTTCCTCTGCGTGCTCCGGTTTGCCCTACCAATAAAAACACGTACAATAGGTATGAATGTAAGGAGTGAATGGATGGTGTTGATTGGGGCTTTGATGCACCCTTGTTTTCGGCGTCTCGCTTCCGTCGTCACTGTGCGGGGGAGAGAATGGAAAAATATCTGAACTCTGAACATTGTAAAGCACTTTGGGTGACCTTGGTCTGTAAAATGTGCTATATAGATAATCATTACTTACCTACCAACCCACTTAATTAAAGCAGTAGAAGTTTGGTTTTGCAGCATTTTAATTTAAACTTTAAGATGGGTCGGATGGTTCGTCATTAGTGGTTTAGAATAATGTAATGCAAAATGTTAATACAGGTTTAGTCGTGCTGTTGCATGACTGTTTAACCTATATCATTATATATGCCAATTTTGATGAATTACCTGAGCCCTATTTATCTTCTTATCACTGTCCTGGATCAATATAAAGATTTCAGCTGAATGAATCAATAGATAATCGCTGTTTAACCAATATAGACTCAGATACTGTAGATAGATAGAATATACTGCTATTACTGTCATGTGACTTCCTGGCTTGATCACAGCAGACAAGTGTGTAATTAACCCAATCAGCTGAGGATAAATCTAGTTGCTGGTCTAGTGCCGTTTCTTGTGCCACTTCAGTCTCATGCCACTTGTGTTGACTCTGTATTTTAATGTATCAAATGAGCAGACCATCATCTATATGTCATATAAAACACCTTTTATGTATTTCTCCCAGTCTGTGATTGGTCACTTGGTATTATGGTTTCCTTTCAGGGCTGCTGGAGGAGGTTAACTGTGGATGATTCAATGCCTTTTGATGAAAGCAATAAGCTGCTTCTCCCTGCCTCCACATGTCCGTCAGAACTCTGGCCAATGCTGTTAGCCAAAGCTTTGATTAAACTGGCGAACACTAAGTAAGTTCAGTTCATTATCACGCAGTCAAACTACCAAGGTAATTACAAAATGATGTATTTATGTGTTTAGTAGAATGACAGCAGCAATTAAAACATATATCACTTGACAGATAATTTAAAATCTGACGCCAAAACAATTCAAAGTAAGGCCACGGCTAAAAACAATCAAAAGAGAACTATTTGGCGCTATTTGGTAAAAATCTAGAAACAGGAATTTGGGATGCAAAAGCCAACAGTTTTCCCCTCTTTCTGTCCAGTGAAATACCCTGTTCTCCCTTGATCATACTGCTCAATGACTCCAAGTCAGTGTGTGTGTGTGTATTTGTGAGTATGTGTGGCCCTTTGGATGTTTCTATCAGGCCCCGGAGCCCTCCACAATGTATATAGATTAAGATTAAGGATTAAGAAGAGATCCTTAATTCGAAAGGTTTGCCCATGTCTGGTCTAGAGGCTGTCATTTCTGCAAAAGGAGGATATACAAAATATTGAGTGGATTTTTCTTTTGTGGTACCTAGATTCATGCACATGCCTAGTTTGGTTTAAATAATAGTTGCACACTTTTTGTGAATGATTCCAAATTTATTTAACTTGTCAAATATCACTATGTTTGTCTTGTATATGATATATTTAACTGAAATTTCTTATCTAAACAGCCAAAGATTTATAAAGGAAAATCATGAAAATAGAGAGGGGTGTCTGCACATTTTCATACCACTGTAATACGTGTTATTCCCTGTGCACCCTTTTGAGAACACTTTCCTGATTTGCCCAACCTCCGTCTGACCTGACGTCTAAAGGGCTGTGACAGACATCCAGTGTGCCCATGTGCGAAGAGGCAACATGGCGTGTGTAAGGTGGCTGTTCTCGCGTCCACACAACTGGCTGCAACATTAATGTTTCATCCCAGACAGGAAACAAAGGAGCCCATCTCTGTACATTATTCATTAGGTGCCGTCAAAATTCTTCACACAGCGCTAACTTTGCTCAGGTGTCTGTTGAAGGGCTTTTGAATAGCAGTGTCTTAATGTCCAAATATGGTCTTCCACCCAGACATTGTTTCCATCCACTCAGTCATAGTTCGTCCTGTGTAATGGAAGTGAATGGAAAACTTGTGATATTTGAAAGACTGATTTCTTTCACCTGCAAAAAAGTTTCCACTGCCTTTTTGCACTTTGTTTTGCGCAGCTGTTGATTTTAGTTTCTGTGCCATCTCAACTGTAAATTAAAAAAGTTATCCCCCACTCCCAGCCAGATCTATCAAAAGCTCTGCAGCCAAATGTAAAAAAGAAAAAAGAAATCTTGAAAGGATATGGCATGCCTTTCTCACTCATCTTCTCTGAGATGTACTCTCTACTAATGCAACATTCTTCCTGATGGTAAAGTCAAAATGTGGTTTCAATGTGCAAGTCTGAAAAAAGAATTCATTTCTATCAGTTGCCTAGAAACCAGATTCTCATTTGTTGTAAACTACTTGAGCGCATTGTTTTAAGCACAGATTGTAACCCTTCTATTGCCACATACTATGATATAAATATATTAAATAGAAAAGTGTTTAGGTATTTATTTTTTCCTTTTCTTTTCTTTTTTAGTCCTCTTTCGGAGACTGGTGGAGAGATCGGAGAATTCACCTTTATACCGGCATTCACTGGATGGGTCCCAGAAATCCATCCTCTTATGTATGTTTTTGCATTTTTATATATTGTTTAACTAAATACATAAGTAATCAATATGAATAAAATTGAAACGTGCATAAAATGTATTTCTATTGCCTCAATCTCGTAGCCTTAATTACATTAGCGTTGCCATTTTCAATTGAACTCAAGTTGGCATCTTGCTAGCGAGCCTACGACAAACAGGTAGACGATGTGTTTTCCTTGGCTTGTCACAAATGCAGCTTTAATGGGGCAGCAATGTTTTGCAGAGGAGTCTGGGAGTGTAATTCTGTGTTGCTTAGCAGGTTTGCAGTGTTAGCTGGCAGCCTGGGGAAACTATCAACACATGCAAGAACCCCACTCGTGTCTGTTTAGGTTTCACATGAATTCATGTATTTCTTGTTTAAAAGTCTCAAGAAATCCACAAATGGTTGGCCATGTAGCAAGAAGATTGTGTGATTGCTGCTATGAAGACACTATGAAGAGCGCACAAAATAGCATTATTTACATATCCATATGCAATTAAAGCCAGACAAATCACAATTAGGATGAATTAGCTTTGATCCCACAACAAAATGTCATCCATCCAGGCCAGGCAAGTTTAATTGTATAGCACAATTCATACACAGTGCAACTTAAGCCATCTTAAAGTGCTAATTGGTTCCAGGCTCTAAAAGAGTTTGGTTCTATCTCTAGTTTTAAATGCATGTATATGTTGGCCTCTGTCACATCTTTAGATCAGCTTTTTCAGACAGAAAATTAAAAAAGAGAGGACCAGCCTCACTCAATTGGCTCTCAGTCCAAAGAGTCAAATAGTGACTCAAAGGGCTCGTCCTCACAAATGCAGCGTAATGTTGATTGCTTTTTTTTTTTTTCACAATTCTTTCTGTTGGGACAAAGAAAATTTAATATAAGTACCCCTTATACTCTCTAACTCTAAAAATTTCCTCACTTACAGTTCCACAGACCTGCAGAAAATGTGGGCTTTTCTGCGGAGCTCCATTCTCACGTACAGATACCCAGATGAGAGCTCAGTGGAGTCCAGACCCGTGACAGAAGCGTCGTCTGTGGTGGATGAAGCTAACAACCCGACTCAAGAGTGCGAGGAAAGTAAAGGTGTGTTTCCCACAAAACAACAAGCACACAAACTATTATACAAAAGTAACATACGGTCCATTGCTGATAGTTCAGTCCATTACATGCCTGATGTATAAACAAGCTTTTGTAAATGTGTCCTTTTTACCTTAGTTAAAGCTCCAAAATGTATAGTTGGGTGTATCCAAAACTAAATGTCAGTTAATTTTCAAATTCTGAGGAGAGAGAGAGACAAATGTCAATGCAAGAATCATTTAGACCAACCCATGCTCACCCTCACAGCTTCCTGATTTGACAAAAAAAATCTAAATATTCCCATCAGTCAAACTATTGTCCCTCAGAAAATATTACTGGTTGTGGTTTTCCAAGTGGAGCGACTATTTGAAATATGTTACTTTTGATTTTACATGACATTACATTCTCTTATCTGTGAATAACATACATCTATTGCAAGTCAAAGGGCCAATTCTCATCCATGCCATAGTTTGAATTAACTAAGGTCTGGATGGGTCCATGTCCATTATTTTTCTTGTGTGGAGAACTAAATACTCTATTGCCAAACATTAACCATCCTCATTTTGGTCATACCTATCCTTACTGTAATCAGGAATAACAAACACAGACATTACGTTATGATGTGACCTCTGTTCAATGGGTGCCCATGTATTATAGAGCATGGACCGTGGACAATAAATAAACCAGCAGAGGGAGCCGTGGTGAGGTGAATTATTTGGTGTCCCCGCAGGGCAAAAGAGCCATCCTGGTTACTTGTGATTATCTAATGAAGAAGTGTCCTCAAAAAATGCATTATGTTTCCTGAGGTCACTGCTCAGCTATTTTTAGATATAGTTATATTATTTCCCATTTGGTTTGGTTACCTTTTATCTACAGATTGCTACATTAATGCAGTATTAACCTCTTCACTCAACATCAGTGTTTGCCCTTTGTACAGTTCTCTCTTGTTTACACTAATTAAAGTGTCAGGGATTAGCATAATGGGATGATATAAAGTCTCGTGCTTTAGGGAGACGCACTGAAGTTGTGTGTGTGTGTGTGTGTGGTATAGACACATACTACACATTCCTTCTCCATTGTTTACACCACAGAACTTCATAAACCCAAATGCATAAATCAGAGCGCAGAGCAAGAAACCACTTTTGTGTTCAATTCTTAATGTGTAGCCTTTATATTTCTTGAGCACCGCATCCATTTACTCTGTCTGCATTCCTTCAAATTGATTTTCCATGTCCCTTCTGGCCTATGTGCGCTGTATATGACATAGTATAGGGGGAGATCTCTGAGATAACCTTGATAGAGGCTTATGGCTGTATTATACCAGTCCACGGTGATGGATCCGTAGAATAAAATAGGTAATCAAATGTAATAAAATTATGATTACAAATAACAATAATTATAATAATCATGTTTGTAAGTTACTCCACAATTCTGTTTAATCCCAAGACGTTATTCTTGTGTTGGTTTTTAGGGCTCCCTGGCAACTTGGTGTGTGCTGCTATCTACTCTTTCAGTGCACTGAAAATGTCTTCAGAATTTGGCCAGAAATTAATGGTATGATAATTTACAATGCTCAACAACTATCGTATGTATAATGTGTGTCATAAAATCTAGTTTATACTGTTTGTAGTGGATGCGATCTGGAGGCATGTTCTATTTGGATGGTTTTCCCCAACAGCTTTCCCATTGTTCATTATTTACGCTCAAACTAGCTCAAGTTGGTGGGGGGTCCTTCAGTTTTCTGACATTTATAGACGATATGATTTATCAGCCCAAAACTAGTATAATACATAAATTATATCTATGACTTGATTACAACAACAGCAACAACAAAATAATATGTAGAATGTTGTTTTGTCTCCCCAGGCAACTTCTTCTGCAGTTTTGCGTCAATATGGTCTTTCTTTAATGTGCAGCCACACTGTGCTGTTGACGAGAACCAGAGATTGTTCCCTGGAACCACCCCCAAAACCTGTTGTGCCCCGCTGGAAACTGATCCGCCCTCGCAAAGAAATTGTGATTTCAGACGAACCTCAAAGTAAGTTCCTATATACTTAAAAACAAACTATGACAAACGTATAAATAAGCATTTGAATGAAGGAGGCTGTAGGTGAAGAGAAAAGCATCTATGCACACAGGAGAGTTGTGTAGGTGAAAGTCATACATAAATATGAGCTGGTGAAAAAAAGCGAATGCTCGCGGAGGGGAGGCCACACAGTGCTGTTACCTACAATGAAAAGAGCAGGAGATGATGGGCCAATTCAACACTAGAAATAGACGCTGGTTCTGGCTTATCCGGCACCTGCTGATCTCACTTTTTAAGTGAAAGGAGAAAGATGCTGTTTCTTTTTTTCTGCAGAGCTTGCTTTGTCAAAACCTGAACTGTTCATTGAAGTTTCCAGTGTGTTCCTGCAGCTCCACATCAAGAGCAGCACACAGCCAGAAATGTAATCTCATTCCATATTAAATATTTCTGTCTTTATATACTTTTTTGTCTTTGATGACAAGTTTCAGTTATATACTATATGCATAAATGATAGTGTGCATCTCTGTGCAGGCAGAGAAGGCAGGGTCAGAATGCTCTGGTGTCCATCGCTGAGAGCGAGGAGTCTGGATGCAGCAACGGCAATGAGCCTGATGCGCCTCAACACGCCACCAACTCTCCAAACAACACACACAAAACAGAGGTATGTACAGGAAAGGCAGACTGGATCTCTTCTGGGCATGTGTGAATTCATGTTTTCGTTTCAAATATATGTTTTTACAAATAGAATATAGTAACACAATTTAATCTAGTAATCTATTGTGTATGTGTTGAAATAGTTATTGTCTGAGAGAGACCATTTCATTTTCTCTGTGAATTTCATGTGGATATATTTGCAGTCTAAGGCTTGTCACAGTAGTTATGTGTGTCAGTGACAGCATGGCCGCCATCCCCCAGCCTCAAAGTCACTTCTGTTGTCTCCCAGCCAGGCCACTGCTGACCAGGGGCACATTTGTGCTAAACAGAGAACCAGTGAGGGCAAGACTGACGAGGGGTGGGCCACAGAGCAGCAACAGCCTGCAGACACACAGACAAACTGTGTCTGACGAAAATGAATTGTATATTTATAAATGGACACAACAGGGTTAGCGACGAGCCAAGCAAAAACAGAGCTGCTCTGTGGACATGGAGATAGACCACATTTATGTTACTCGTCATGGTCCATGTCAATACTGATGTTTTTTACTAGAGCAGCTGAAGCCAGATTTGCTCTACAGTTAAAGACTATTCATGAGGTTCAGCTGCATGCTTCGAGTTTCTGAGTTTCAGTTGATTTATTATGCATGTAAAAACTATAATTGCAGTTTAGAAAGTAAACTTCCACTTAGGTAGCATATACAATATCAGTTAACTAATGTACCGTCTTCCTTTAGTCGTACTCAGGCATATGGGTTTCAGTCAAGCAGAGGTCATATTCTGATGATGAAAAAAGCTTTGCAATTAGACGGTGAGCCATCAGCATCTGTGTCTCCTGGGGCCTTCATTATTACACTTCTTCCCGAGCCTGCAGAGAAATACGCAGTTCATATTAATCGCCCTCTTGTGTAACTGTGACCAGTTATAACGCAGTTGGGCTACGGCAGTATGGGCACTCTAATTTGATGTGTCGTTTGATGTGTGTGGTTTTGCACTTGTGCAGCTACACGGTGGCTGCAAGTTAGCACGAGCACATCCCAGCACACATGCAGACGAGGCTTTGGGTCAAAGCAGGAGGCTTTTGTTATATTCGGTTCTGCCTCTGTCAGTCCCATTTAGTTGTGTGAGCGCTTTTGTCAAGGCTGTGGGGAGGTCGTGTCACATGATGCCCTTCATACCCCAGGTCAACTAAAGTGTGAGTTAACCCATTAACTCTTGTTTAATCTCAGATATTCAAGGAATGTGGTAATCACCTAATCACCAAAGACTTGTCGTGGTTTGGGATTTAAAATCGCTTCAATGCTTGCCTGTCTTTGCATCAGTAACATACATTAAATTCAGTGTATTCTTGTATAGCCCTAAATCACAACAGTAGTTATCTTGGAGGAATTTGCCAACACTGATTAGAGAATCAAATAGTTATAATACAAGAAATGACATGTTCATAGAATAAAGTCTGATTCTTTTTGTTCTTGTAGACTCTGGACTAAAACAGCTTCCAATTACAAAGCATTCTGTCTTTTATTCAAATAATCATCATGACTCACCGCAAAATCCACATTGACTCATCAGTCTGCTGGGGATGTACTGAACTATTACCATATTGGTACAAAATAATTGCACAGAGATTATTAACCCTCAACAAACTCTCCACATGAGTGACTTTGTTAATGACTGCAAGACATTAAAATCCTTCCTTTACTGCTGTACATTGCTGTATTATGTTCAAATGTACAGCCCCTCCTCTCTCTTGTCTTGTCTGGGCTAAATTATGGTTTTGTTCCTTGTTGGTGATTATATCTGAAGAGGAGCTCGTAAATGTTGCTTTAAATAAGATAAAAAGTTGATATATTACCATAAATATTGCTCCTGTTACTGGTTGCCACCACAAATTACAAAATGTAATGGAAGACCACAGGCACGCAGACAGTTTATTGATACCGGGGGCTGTACCTAGTGAGACCGTTGGTGTCTCACTATGTTGGCTTTTCATTTGGCTTTTCATATGTTTTAATGTTTGGCATTTAAGTAAAAATACATATGTTAAGCCTACCTTGTGTGTGCCTAACCTCACAACAAGAGTCAGTTGAACAAGAAAAATCATCCAAATAATGATAATGTTAGCCTATGATCCATTCTCTATAGACTGTATATGACGCAAAAAACTAGCTCAATATGAGACCGTGCACATGCCAAAGTCATTCCTGTTTAAACGTGACTCAACATGGGTCCAAAAAAATTATGTTATATACGATAATGTATTATATGAAGAAGAAAAAATCAGACCCCCTATACAAAACTAGCTATGTACTCTCTGAAGCAAAGAGAGTTAAGAGGAGAAAGAAGCTAATCAATCCACATGGCAGAAGCAGAGGGGCAGTTTGAGGCAGTGTGTGTTTGTGGAAAATACTTTTTATGCCAAACAGACCATTTTGAATATTTATCTTCGAACATAGATCCACATCTGTGTGAAACTTGTTTGACTCATGTTTTAATATTCTACTGAGCTGCCATCCTCATCAGTTGGACCCACACGACCATGAGCACGCACAAACACGAGGAGCACGGATACAAACGCTACACACAGTGATCACTGCAGACCTCCTTGTGCGTGTGCGTGTGGCTACAAACACGCGCTGACCATCACTGATACGTCCTCATGCATTCACGTCTCAGGTGCACAAAGCCACGTGAGGATTAACAACGCATTTCTGCATTTGTTCCGCACACTGTGGATGATCTTACACTTAAGCATATATTTTCACGTTTATAAGTGACTAGCCTCTTCCCCTCTGAGAACATACATGGGTTATTTGATCAAAACCCCCCCCTTTCTTTCCTTCCTGAAGTTATTCTTATCTTTGAAATATGTTTATTTACGTAGCGCCATGTGGATTGATTAGCTTGCGGTAGACCATAACAATGCGATTCCCTTTGGTCTTGGGGCTTTCTCACTTTAGAAGACTGATTTTGGCTCTTTATGAGGAAATGCTGATACAGGTTCATACAACACGGCTCCTTTTCCTACTGTGTTGACACAAAATGACATTTGGTCTATACCCAGTAGAATGCAATAGAGCTTCAGGTGCAGGTGTCAGCAGGTATAACATATTTAGTCCTCATTTTGGTACAAAAACACTTTGTCCGTGAATCCAATTGTAGTCCAGCTGTAAAACATGTATGCAATCCTCGTCTAAAAGATCACAACATGAGCAAAACTATGCACTCAGTTTAAAGTGAAAATAAATATTGTTATATGTATAGATGAATTCATGTATTTCTAAACTGTGGCAAACAGTCTCAAGCAGGGAGGGACTGACTGCCTAAGTTGGGACTAGCAGCTTTTCACCTCGATAGTTCCTGCTTCTAGATAAGAGTGGTTTCAGTGTTAATCAAACCACAACATCTCTCTTCTCCTCTTAGGTTACTGCTGTGTACAGAAAGAAGGAGGAGGATGACACTTCCAGTGGTATGAACTCATTTCCTCCAGTGTTTGTAAAAATGTGTTGAGTGGTGAATAATATTTATGACTAAAGTAACAACCCCAGACAAAATCCCATTCACTAAAAACCGTTGGAAATAAAAACCATAATTTGATATATTAAATTATACTTTATTGTCCTTTAATGCTTGTTTAACTGTAGTGTCTAAGTATATTTAATGTTTTTAGGGTTTTATATTCAATAGTTCTTGTAATTCCCTCTTGTTCCAATGGATAGATAGATACACAATCAAATGACTGGCAAAGGTAGTGGTGGAGAAACCAAATTCACCATTATACTAGATTTATCTGACAGAGTAAAGTTATAAATTACTATTATTCTTTTAATACATGCGTCCAATGACTTGCCTTCTCCCTGCCCCCGTTCAGTTGCTTAGTAACACCTGCAGCTCCAGTGAAGCGGCCACCATTGCTCAGCAGACAGTGGCCCCTGCAGCCTCGGCTTTCTGATCAGCCCTTTGAGTCAAGCTCGGGGGCAGAACTTACTGTGGATGCGCCTGCGTGTGTGTTTTTTGGGCATAATCGTGGTGAACGTTTGTCTATGGCTTGGCTCGACGTGCACAAAGAGGGAGAGTGCTTGCGAGTGGGAGGAAGGATGTGCATGTGCGCTGAGACTGTGCCATTGTGTGGGAGTTAGGCCAATTCAACTTACTGTGTTTAAGACGATGTTCGCAGTCTAGCATAACTTATGGCCAGTCACTGAGGACACGCTTGTTCTTACTTTCCAGCAAATCTGGACTAAGGAATGGAAAAAAGTGTTTGATCGCTTAACTTAAGTTTTGGATGTGATGGAATCACAAACAGAAACCAAATTTGCACATTAAATATCTTTGTCTAATGGTAGATGACTGTATCCAAACAAGCCATAGACTGTATATAGATAGACAATGCTGACCCTCTAGCTTTTTGATGCCCAATAAGGAAGTGCTCATGGACAAAGCTCCAACTCGCTCCTATTGGCTTACATTGAAACGTAAACTCCTCTAGCTCAGTAGCCGTTTATGTTACACTCACCATTTTAAACATAGAAAATCTGTGATTCAGTGTTCTCTATAATCCTCCTATTATGATGTTGTCTTTGTAAAACCCTCTATGAGCCCTATAAAAATTGACCAGCAACCTTCCTTAGCAACCATGTTAGCTACATGTTTTTGCCTGTTACAGCGCAAAGCTAACAAATGCCCATATTAGGAAATGGGCTCCAGCTAGCTGATGTTCAAATTGGCTTCTTCCACATTCAACAAACACAATGGGTGACGTCTAATAAAGTCACTAAAACAAACCTATTGGTATAGAGATGTTGTTTTTTGTACATGTAGAGTATTGTACATTGTGTGATCACCTCATCAATATTTTTGAATTATTTACTTTTATTAAGGCACAAAGGATCTCCAGCAAAATCTTCTAGGACCGTCTGAATCCGCTTTGAATTTGGCGTGGGTTGAACTTGAAGACTTTCCATCATGTTTCCAGTAATAAAACTCTTACAAACAGATCAGATTGTCTTTGTTTTCTTTTAGATTCACTGTCTAATGTCACTCACTCATTTTTGTTTACAGGAATCTTATTACTTTTCACAACCCACAAAAATACCCACACAAATTCAGCAAAAGCCACTTCAAGGTACAGAGAGATTTGATGTCATATACGTTTGGATATCCTTGTAATATGTTATTTTTTTGTATTTCAGGCTTCTGTTGTTCCTAAATCCTCTTCCTCGGATGAGTTATGGGAAATAGCTGCCGCAGAGGTACGCACATCAACATTAAAAACTCAAATAACTATTTAAAAAAATAAAATGGAAATGTGCGAATCTCCTATGGTTTTTTCTTCTTTGTTCCTAAACTTTAAACAGTGACAATCTATCTATATTTCCATGTACACAATGTTGTATGTGTTGTTTTTTAGTTCTATTCCTGCCACCTTGTTATGGCTTGCCACACTTTCATTATTGCTATTGAAGAAAATGTCAAATGATGCATAGGTCTGGGATCAAGTCTTAGCAGAAAACATGTGTCATTGTTGACCACCAATTCCACATGGCTTTATACCCAGGAAAAATGCAACAGTTCTCCTAAGCATAATAGATCAGTTTGGTTTTGACTTAAAGATAACCATAACATCAAGTGAAAAATCACATAAAAAGTCTTAAACTATTAGCCTTGTTCTTTTTTTGTGTGTGTGTGTGAAAGTTTTCAGTTCCAGTGCAAACTATAAATTATTTATAATAAACTACATCTGGTGTACAGTACATTAACACACACTTACACAATTCATACACGCATATAGATAGATACATACACATACATATACACGCCTACATAAGAGAAATCAACAGATTCGTCGAATTATGTATGCTGTTACGCTTTGTGATCCTGGTCTGTGAAAGGCGCTAAAAATCAACTTCATTTACTTACTGCTGTATACTATTCTATGCCTTCTTAAAATGTTGGTCTGGCCTTTCCCCAGTGGAGTTCTGCTATCAGTTATCTATCAGGCCAGTGTTCCCTCAGCTCTGCTCTGTCTCTGCTCCACTGTCTGCTCTCACACTGATAACTGTTTGTGTTTGTTTGTCTCTCGTCTTCCCAGAGTGAGGATGTGAGCGGCCGTCTCTACCTGTGCGTGGACAGCCTGCAGACCTCCCAGATCTTCATCACGCTCTCTGCTCTTCTCCGCTTTTCCAACTCCACCGAGTCAGGTGATGGCTTTATCTCACACTTTACATGACGCAACTTTTGATATTAAAAGCAATTTCACATATTTTCTCGTCATTAAAGCTTCTTTACATCAGGGGGAGGTACCTGCAGGTATCTGGGATTCTTTGTAATGGCTTCTTTGGCCTTAACAAAACCAAAATAGTCTGTCATTTGTATATTATTTCTATATATTGGGAATCCAGAAATGCATTGTGCCATAGGGGTGCATTAATATCCACAAATGTCACATTATCCTATGGTATTTCTTATTCATGTATAGTATTTCTGTTTGTTAGATAGATAGATAGATGGATAGATACTTTATTGATCCCCGTAGGAGAAATGTAGGTGTCCAGTAACAACAGAAACCCATCCATCCATACAAACAAAAATAATAACTAGATAATTATAAAAAATACAGTAGCTAACAATAGTATTAAAATGCAAGGACGGGTCACAGCAGCAAAGAAAGAGATGCTGCTTGGTTTGGACCATTTTCTCTGCTCTTCTCGAATGAACGCTTTATTAGCATTTTTCAAAAAGTTTGCCTTCCTCCAGTGGATTTTCAGCTGATCCGCTTGCTTCGGTCCTTGAGTCCTCTCTGCAGCAACGTCTGCAGTAACCTCTAAGGTAGAAAAATTCAAGAAAAAAAAAAACAATTGTAGAGCAACAAAACAGCAACTGTTTCAGAGCCACTTAGGACTTGCTGCCGTTTCCAGTGCATTCAAAAGTAATTGTTTGGTTGTCTGCCATGGTAGTAGCGAGTACATAGAAACGACAAAATACAACAACATCTCTGAGATGTGTTTTATTTTTTTATTTTGTGGCTTTTTCTTGGTAGAAGAGAGAGCACACACTGTGATGACAGAAGTGAGACTCCATAAACACTGGCAAATCAAAGACCATCTCATACTCATGTTTTTTATTTGTACATACTTTATGATGAGTCAAGCAAATTTGATATTGTTGATGTCGTTTCTAGTGAAAGATCAACCGCTGACCTCTGCCGTACTGATGGTCCAGCCGTACTCCTGGAAAAGTCTGCAGTGTCAGCTCCCTCTTGTCACTATCCACACTTCCTACTCCGAAACAGCCAAGTTAATCTTACCTCCAGGGTAAGTAATACACTGTAGTCCATTCCATTCCATTCAATTTTCTTCCACTTCATCCGTTGCCGGGTTGCGGGGGCAGCAGTCTAAGGCACCTTTTTCCAGTCGAGCAACATGGCCTTGGATTTGGAGGTGCTGATTCTCTCCACTGTAGTCATTTTTTATTTTTATTTTACCCTTCTTAAATGCTGATAATGTAGTCCAATTCAATTCAATTCAGTATATTTTTGTATAGCCCTAAATCACAGTACCCGCCTCCAAGGACTATACACAGTTGTCAATTCAGTGTTTCCCACAGGTTTGAAGGCAATGTGTGGTGGTCGTCGGCGGCGGGGGGGGGGGGGGGGGGGTACAGTGGTAGAGGACAATCTTGAGGTCATGAATCCAGTGAAATTAGTCGCACACCTTTTTACAGTAATAAGTTACAGCAGATCAAAAGTGACATGTTTTGACAATTTTTAGGCTATTTTGGACCAAAATGGCTGCTTTAAATCAATATTTCTACAGTAAAAGTTTCTGGTCTTTGGTACAGTGGTAGAGGGCAATCATGAGGTCGTGAATCCAGTGAAATTAGTCGCACACCTTTTTACAGTAAAAAGTTACAGTAGATCAAAAGTGACATGTTTTGACTATTTTGGAGGTATTTTGGACCAAAATGGCTACTTTACCTCAATATTTCTCAATATTTCTACAGTAAAAGTGTCTGGTCTTTGGTACAGTGGTAGAAGGCAATGTTGAGGTCATGAATCCAGTGAAATCAGTTGCACACCTTTTTACAGTGAAAAGTTACAGTAGATCAAATGTGACATGTTTTGACCATTTTTAGGCTATTTTGGACCAAAATGGCTACTTTACCTCAATATTTCTCAATATTTCTACAGTAAAAGTTTCTGGTCTTTGGTACAGTGGTAGAGGGCAATAATAAGGTCATGAGTCAAGTGAAATTAGTCGCACACCTTATTCCAGTAAATAGTTACAATACTTGAAAATTGCACTAGCGGACCAAATTGTGTACTTTATACATGTAAACAATAGAGTGGCTATCCTCCTGAGGACTCACAATCTGCCGGAGGAATCGTAGGGGGCTGGTGCTATGTGTACCGGGTGGCATCTCTATAAGGTTTTAATCACAAAAACGTGTCTCCCAGACCCCAGCGCGCTTTCTGTTCGATAAAAATGGGTGACTCCGAAAGGACGTTCCGCTGTTACCGTAAGTTCTCAACAAAACGCGCACCGTCTTTTCCCCGATGCGGGCCGCATGTTCATAGAGCTGAAAGATGCGGGCCACTTTACCGCGGTAAATTAATAGACACAGCTGCTTACAGCGATGATCGCTGATGGAGACGGAGACACGCGGTGTGCACGAAGGGGAGGGGCTGTGTGTGTGTAGGTCTCTGTATGTGGGAGAGACGCGTAGCTTGAGTGAGAGTTACGAAGGGCCGCCACATTTTAAACCCCCCTCCCCGCTGTCAAATTGACCGCTGCGGCGGCACTAGACGATGCATGTTTTAAATAGCGTAACAAAAAATATATATATAATAATACGAAACGCAATTTGTGGCGGGCGGTCTCTAATCTGTGGCGGTGCGCCACAGATTAGTCTATGTGTGGGAAACACTGCAATTCACCAACAATAGATCAGAGAATCAAACAGTTCAAACACAGGAAATGTAATAATAACAAATACATGTACATTGCGCATCCCGCTCCATATGAACCAGTGCCTCATATGGAGCGGGATGCGCAATGTCCATAAATGTCCTTAAATGTACTGGATCATCAATGTCGACAAGGAACAATTTAAAAAAAAAAGTGAGAAACCTTGGGAAGGCCCATATTGAGAAATCCACTCCCATGAACGAACAGGCCATAGATCTAGGACTCGAGCTGTATAATAATTTAATTCATTTTAACCATGAAGAATCATATTATTCCATTTCAACGCCTTTTATTTTATATGTATATTAGAAAAGTAATTGAATTGCGAAGCAGCGAATTTACATGTACATGCAAAAAAGGATGATTGACGTGCTGCTGAGTCTGAGCTATATGTGGCACATGTATCCCTGCTGATTATCCTCCATTCATTTGCTCCTGGTTCCTAATTGTTACTGTCAGTTCAGCTGATCCATTTTGCAGACGTGAGTGAGTAGTCAGGATTGTGGGCACCTCAAACGCCCTGTCCTAGTCTCTATTAATGGCTGCTGCTTGGCCTAGAAGAAGAAGGCCTACTTACAGGGGTCAGGAGCAGGTACAGTATGTGGCAGTGCAATTACCACAATCACACAGGAGTTTTCGGCATATGACGCTCGTTTGCCCCCCGTAAGACGCTCCCACTGAGGAAACTCGACCTATCCCGGTTTAGTGCTCCTCGCAGCAGCTGGAAATACATTTGTTTTCATCATATTTGGTGTTGTATGCTTCATTTTTGAGAGGGAAAAGCCATTCTTTTTTTCCCATTAGCAGCTCCTATCACTGTTCAACCATCCAAGCTGTGATGGCTAAATTATGTAAAGCTAATGAAGCCGATTGAAGTGGAGTCCAGCTTTCTCCAGTCTGACCAGCCTCCTGACACTTACAGAAGGCACTCTCTTTTCTTGATGCTACATATGTTGTTGCTGCAGTGAAAATAGGTTTCACATGTTCCCCCGCCACATAGGTCTCTAAGCCAATCTACTTTGTGTGAAAAAGTGCAACTGTCTGTTGGCTTGACTGTATGTTAGCTGTCATTGATTCATATTTTTTGTTCTTCTACAGGAGACATGTACTCTGTATTCGAACCTCATCAGCTTTGGGCTACAACATCCAGCTTTTCAGCGAGACGCCTTTTGTAATTGGGGATGAAAATGCCATAATGTCAGAAGTTACAAAGGTGACAAACACTGGCATCGCAACATTAGCATAAAATGCAGTTGACTTTTATGCTTGACCTAACCTTTTTTGAATTTTAATTGTCTTGCCAGGATGGTGTTGTGCATAATTATTTTGTTTTAGATGCAAAGATGCACTCAATATGAGATTTCAACTTACTAAAAACATATTATTTTTGCGATACTGAATCTTTTATATTAAATAGGAATCAGTTTCACATAATTCTTTATCGTGAGTAGAAATCATGTGACCTTTTTTATCTTTAATGCAGGCTTTTATTGCACTGAAAAAGAAAAGAAAATCTCCACAAACCTCAAGTCTCATTCTTGGGTCGGGCCACCTTCTGCCTGTTCCAATGGAGATGTTCCCTTTTATTCATTTTCATTCATTTTTCACAGTCCATCCTAAGCACATGTGTGATAATCATTTTGGTGATACACCGACCATACAACACTACAAATGTGTCAAATTATAACCATTTCGTGCATAGAGGTGAAGTCACCTCTAGCGGCTGCAGAGTGGATGCCTGCTCCTCTGCCTGTTAGCCCACCTCCCTCCACCCGCACTGTGATGTGACATAGCCTCTTGCTTAGTTTGAGGTAAACAAATCAGCGAAAGCTAACTGCACAGCTGTCGCTGTTACATATAGTTATTTCAGACCTGAGAATAAACTTTTTCCAACAATGGCAATCCATCACATAGAGCCCTATGTCCTCGATTCTAATTATTTAATTAAAAGAAGTATACAAGGAGTTAGTTGCACTGTACTTAGAAACTAAGAGGCTCCCTGTCAGCGTCTTTTATGTTGGGAATAACACCAGGTTTCCAGATCAGCTTTTTAGTTGGTCCCGTTTCAAGGTAACCGTAGTTCTGGAACAGTTATGTCGCGGATTTCAGACCCGCGGATTTCAGAGGCAGTGAACAAAGTCTATCCCCATTCGCCTCATATACTGTCTTCACATATTTACACCCAAAACACATTTTCTCCAAGTTGACATGAAGCTAACACAAAAAGACTTGAGAATTGAGAATTACTTTCTTTTTCCTGTGACTTCTACTGGTGACATTAGCAAACCTTCCAGATGTATAGATCACAGACTGACTCTTCTCTGTTCCATGCTCCCAACAGAAGAGTCTTCACTTCACTTCTCTGGCTTCATCCATCCTGACGGCCTTATCCAAGGCTATAGCAACCTTCTGTGATGTAGAGGAAGGTCTATCTGCCAAGAGAGTCCTGTTGGAGACATACTGCCCCCAACACATCAACAAGTTTCAGAAATTCCAGCTCTACAAGGTAAATTCTCCTGTTCAGATGTAGGAAGTTATCAGAATCAGAATCATTTTTATTGCCATGTAAGTAACAGGAAGTCACAGACTAGGAAATTGCTTTGGCACGGTCCATCAGTCAGAGAAGAGAGGTAAAGAATAGAGAGTAGAGTAAGGAATAATACAAATCAGCATACAGTACACTTCTAAGGTCTAAAATGTAAAATATAATTATTACGATTACAATTACAATGACTATATACAATATGCAAGTGTACATGGTGCACACAAAATGCAGTAAGCAGTGCAATAAGGTGACAGCAGTAAAGTGACTTAATAAAGGACAGTAAAGTGACTTAATAAAGGACAGTAGGGTGACTTTATAAGGGGCGTAAGGTGATTTATAAAGGGCAGGGGGACAGGTTATGAGAGTCCAACAGCAGAGGGGAAGAAACTGTTCTTATGGCGGGAGGTTTTGGTCCTGATGGGCCGTAGTCTCCTGCCCGAGAGGAGAGGTTGGAACAGACCATGTGCAGGGTGAGACAGGTCGGCTGTGACACGACCAGCAAAATTAGGGTGCAAAATTAGAGAGGCATGCTCATTGTCATGCACTGTCCCAACCATATTAAGTACAGTACATGTAGGTGTGTGGCCTGAGAGTGTTTGAGCCTATGTCTTGTCTTGTACTTGTGTCGAGTGTTTGTGTGTATGTGTGTGTGTGTCGAGTCTGTGTGTGTTGTGTCGAGTGTGTGTGTGTGTTGTGTCAAGTGTGTGTGTGTGTTCTGTCGAGAGTGTGTGCGCTTGTATGTTGGGTTGTGTTGAATGAGTGAGAGGTGTTGAAGCCTAATAAGCATCTGTTTCGTCCAGCCTTTTTTTTCAAATGTTTTTTTCTGTCTTTTGTTTATATATATATATATTTATATATATATATATATATATTTATATATCTTGTTTATTGTCTATAGTTTCATTTGCATACCATTTGAAATGCAATTCTTTCCACATTAAAATAACAATCATAATATACAGTAAATGTACACTTACTTCATTTTCTGTTGTAGCTCTTTAACTCTGCAGTCGAGCATATGTTTTCCGAGGCTCTAGAGAGGAAGCTAACTCCTGATGAACAACGTGCTCTTCAGGCTCTCACTACGGACCCATCACTGGAGGTCAACAAACCATCTTCAGAGAGTAAGATGCAGTGTACAGTAGTATTAGTAAATACAGCTATTTATCACATTCAGATTCAGAAAACTTTATTGATCCCAAAGGGGAATCAGGCCTCACCCAAGCTGCCACCCAAGTCTCATAGCACCAACAATGCTATGAGACAGAAGGAAGGTCACAATTTATACAAAATGTACATAACATTTCTTTATTTGGTTTATGTTTACTTGGGTGCAGTTTCAACAATCCCTGGAAACAAAACAGACAGTGAAACAACAGACCAAGAGGAAAATCCAGTTAACAATATGCAGCCTGGAATTGACGAAGACTTATCTATACAGATATTTGAAGCTGCCCAACCAGGTAAGAAATACATCATTTAAAAACAGTTATCCATTTTAGCTGGATGTCAATGTTTATCAAAGCAGAGAGAAAGAGAGAGAAAGATCATAGTGAACCAGTGGATCATAACTTAAACACAACAAGATGATTCCACTTTTCTTTTACACGCGCTCACAAATCATGATCTTTCTGATGGCATTGAGCTCCAATCACTCTGTCTGTGCATGATTATTCTTGAACATAGCAGCGGCTCCGGTGGAACACCTGCCTCTGACTCTGATTCAGCCAGTGGCACGTATTGAGCCCTTGAGCACGGGCACAAATATGTATTGATGGGACTGCCACTCTAACTAATCCAGGCTGACAGATGAGGGCTGGTCACAGAGGGGAAACGCACATATATTCACACATTAGCTCTGCATCAACTCACATTTTCTCTCTCTCTGCGATGGAAAGAGGAAGATGGAATTTCTTTATTTAGATTTTATATGTAGAACTAGATATATATGTCTTGTAGTGAAGTTAAGGATGAACACATGGCAATGCATACAATCTTATTATTAATTCAACGTCTGCATGATACAGTGTGCTACTCCAGCATCCTCTATTGCTAAAGCTAAGAAAAAATATGGCCGGAGATCACTGCATATAATATAACACCGCAGATCACTAGATTGCTGGTGTGTCCTCTGCTGGGGCTGTGTGATCTCTCAAAAGCCTCTGCCCGCATAATGGCTGCAGCAATTGAGAGAAGTAGACATTTAGAAAAGCGCTCGAGTCAGTCAAAGTAAACGTCGTCTGTCGTTACGTTATTTCCACAAAGGTTTCCACATCTATCACCATCTGCTCCCTTGGGGGTATTCATTTTAATTTTAAGACCAGGTAGAGATTGAGTGCAAAGTATTGGAATGAAATTAAAAATAATAGCTACAATGTCTGTGTGCGAAGTGTAATTGGGAGGCAAGGTGGCTTGTTCTTTTATAGTGTCTTTGTAGGTTTGCTCCAGGTACACCAAGGTCTCCTAAGAACATGTACAATAGCTCCGGCATGCATCTACTGTATGACAACCCGCTGCCATCATTGTGTTCCTTTGAGTGAAAGGAAAAAATAGCCACAACATTAGTAATGCGCTTTGTGACCCAGTCTGTGAAAGGCTCTAAATAAAGATGACTTACTCACGACTAACTAATTTTCATATTACCAAGTTAATAATGGAAGAAAATACCTCAAACCCATTTTTTACTGAATGGGTGAATGAATTATACTTTGTACACGAACCCTACTATCTGTAAAATACTGTGATGATGCCAAATACATATTGAAGTAATGGAACACATTGAAAAGATATATTCAATCCCCTATGTTGTATGTTATTAATAAATTATCAAAATAATCGTTTGCCAGTTTAAAAAAAAAAAAAAAGTGGGATTCCTCATGTGTCCAGAAAAGCAGAGACTACTTTTCCAGTGACAGTTCTATAGTTAGTAATGGAATAAATGAAACATATGTATTCTACCACCTTTATGATATTAATAGGCTCACACACTTAGGATTAAACCACATTTAAAAGGGTTTTTACTCAAGTTACTCATGTACATGTTAAATTTTTGATAACACTCTTTTGGTTCTTGTCTGGTTTTGGTCCTGGTCTGGTGTTTGGCTTGTTTTGGTTGAAAGAAAGAATTATTGGCAAAAATCTGCTTAACATCTGCAAGTTAAGAGTCACTTGTGTTGAAGTGTGAAACTGTGGAAAGGTGATAATCTGTTGAAAAGTCCCATTGCACTTTTATGAATACTTAAAAAAGTACAAAAGGTACAAGTGTCAAAAATAACTGCACCCATGAGACAGTGAAGCCTGTAAAAACAACATATAGTTTTTTTATTTGGTGAAACTGTTGATAAGTTGAAATCAGACAAAGTTAGCAAAAAATATACTGTATTATTTAAGGTTTCTCCAAAAACTCGTGAACAACTTTAGTGTTTTATAACATTCCTTTATTTGCAACAATTATATATAACCAAATCATATCCTATTTGTTTTTTAATTGACTAATCTTACATAATAACATGAGAGTACTATAGTGGTCTTTCTTAATCGCTCCTCTTGTGTCTCGCTCTGTAAGGCACTCGGGAAAACGCTGAAGCTTCTCAGATCCTGTTCGACATGTGGCTAAGGATAGAGTCTGATTTGGAGAAACATGCTGCCTCTCTACTCAGGTACAAACACATCACAACACCCCATTCTCTCTCATTCTCTACATGTAGATAGTATGGCAGAAAATTGGCTTCGTGGTTGTGCCACATGGCTAGAATATGCTCCTGCTCTGTCTTGGTGGTGACAGCCTGTGGTGGCATGACAGGGTGCTTTTTCCACTCAGTGTTCCATCCTTTCCCTCTGGTACCATCTGCTGTTTATGCTGCCCTCGTCACACGGGTGAGATGTGTTTGCCGTGCGACCTGCTCCTGATCAGTGAAAATGCTATGTCTACTCCTGCACCTATGCACTTCACAAACTATATATAAATGTTTCACATTTTAGTTTTTTTAATAGTGAAGCTATTTTTTGTTGTTGTTTCTGTTATACCGGATTTATTATATGTATATGTTCTCTTGTTTGTTTTTAGTTTGACTTACTGTCTGTCATCATCCTCATGTGTTTCATGTCCCTATGTTCATTTATGCCGCTTTAATTCAATCTCAGAAACTCTGAGATACAGTATCTATCTTATGACATAATCGTCTGACTTCCCAAAATCCCAGTGTTCATGAGGAGCTGGTGATGTTGGTGACACATGTGCGGCAGTGACGACAGCAATAACAAAAATGTACAGAAACTTATCATAATTCCTTTTGCTCATTTATGAGAAAGGCACAGAATCCTTCACTGCTGTGACATGAGAAATACAGGAGCAAATATGTTTTTTCCTATAATTAAATGTTCTCATACATACACAATCTTCAACTCAAAGTGCTGAAGATAGCATTAAAATCATAAATAATGACACATAAAACACATGCCCTCTCAGTTTGTCTCTATTCTTTCATTCACTTACAATCTGTCCCAGTGATGTGAACTTGGGGACCATTGACCCAGTCTGAGTTGACCCTATCCCAGAGTTTCTGGGATAGCATAAATGCGGCACCATACCTGTGCTTCTATCCTCTTGTTGTCGGCCCATTGTTTTGTAAGTAGTAAGTCTTATTTATTTTTGTAGCACCTTTCACAGACCAGAGTCAAAAAGCACTTCACTTGTCTCTGATTTTTCACCTTTGCTGTCATCATCATAGAAATCACATTATTTTGCATATTTCTGCTTTGTGTCCTTCCTCGTTTTATCACATGACAGTTTCTTTGTATTGTGTTTTCAGTTACATCCTTGAAAACTCAGGAAAAGAGGCTGAACTTTATCCCTGTGAAAAGGACGACTGGGCGAATGTAGCTTTTGATGATTATTCTTCTTCAATTCAAAACAGCCGAAGCTCCTGGTTTGTTGTGTTTAGGTATGTGTCACTCCACAACACAATGTACTAATGGATCCTTGACTAAAGACATGTTATTATTTACAGAGAGGTTTTGTTTGTTTCTGAAGACATACTTGTGGTCCCAAAAGTCACCTTACAAATATCTACCTGCGTGTTACATGTCATAAACAATGACTCTGGAGAAGAGGTTGGCAATATTTGTAACAAAGTCGTTCCTTATGTCTATCGACCCAATCAGGTTTGTTTATGGATCCAGTGATTTGCTTTGCTCTTACAACATGATTATCAAAGTATTTGCATCTTTTACAGCTTGGTTACACATTTTTAGCAGAGGCTGTTAGCGCTGAAGCTGATTCCACATGGAGCATGCGCCTTATCGGTTCAAATAGCTCTCTCCCAAAGCCAGTCAATGAGAAATCTGTGAATAAGTTTGCACAAAAGGACTTCACCGAATATTATGTTCCAAACAGGCACAATGTAATATGTCGGTGAGAAAACTCTTAAAAATATTTCTCTCTAACGTGTGGTGCAATGTGTTTGTTATTCTAAAAAATCCTATTCCTTCACAGATATGTTGTGGAAGTTAGCTCAGATGTGTTGTGTACAATTCAGTTTGAGACTTCCAAGGCTGATGTTATGATTCGTCTCTCAGTCCTGGACCAGGGAAAAGAGGTTTCCAGCCGCACAGGGACAGGACATGTCCTCATTCCTGTGTTCTTCTTTTTAGCCAATGTTGGTAAGAAATTATTCATTGATACATGCGTTTTTCAGGAGCTAAGCAGGATCTTGGTTGGGGGGGTGGCAGTCAGAGCTGCACCCAATTCACAGAGTACCAGAGGCTTCAGGCAAAGTGGGGTTAAGTGTCTTGCCCAAGGATACAACAACGGCTGACATCAGTGGAGAACGTCTCGTGGCGGGCTCGACCCCACGGCCTTCAAGCTCAAAGGCCAATGCTCCACCAACTGAGCCACTTAATAAACACCCCAATCAGACCCCACCTGTTTCCTTAAGTGGGTCCAATCGTGGACTGCAGACCTGAAGAAATGTGTGCAGTGTGATGTGCTCCTGCTTGTTTGGAATTAAATCCTGCAGCCACACCTGCCCTTTCTTGAACCAGACTGACACCACTTGTCCTAAAGTATGTTGGATACTCATAAATTTATGAAGTACATAGAATCTGGATTACTGCAGGAAGATTCAGAATCATCTAATTCTGAGTCAGTTTCTGTTGGAGAAATGTAATAAAACTCAACTTTAATTGTTGAATTATGGTGAAATCCCAAAAGCTCATCATTCTACTCTAGCCTGGTCTGACCACACCATTGTACAAATGTCATTGCGTACATGTTGGGAAATAATAATTACCGGAGTTTACGGACATTTAAGATTGAGAGAACCTTTATTCGTCCCACAGTGGTGACATTTCAGTGTTGCATCACAAATTACAGAATAATGAATAATAACTCTGTCCTTAAATAAAATAAAATAAAACTTAGCATAAAAAAACTAGCATAAAAAAGCAGCATAAAATCTCTATCTCTAATAAGGAAAGACTTCTAAAATCTCCAACTTTAACATGTTGAAGAAGCAAACTTGTACAAAACTCCCTGACTTTAACATTATAAGGAACAAGTATAAAATGCTGTGTATTCTAGTGCAAGTAATGTATAGTTGTGTATATATATTCAATCAATCTCAAAGCAATGTTCTCAAAGCAGTTCTGATTTTCTAACACATTGTACTGTTCTTCCAGAAGACAAGACTCAGAACAAGCCGTGTGGTCCCAAACCAAGTGCCCACGAAGTGGACAGTGTGCAGCCTCCCACAGAGACCAGGGTATCAGTGACACAGCCGTCAGTCGCTGCTCAGACGTTCCTCTCACTGCCTTTGTCGCTCCTCACCCACTTGTTTGCGGTTCCGTGCTGTTTGTGTCTATTTTTTTTGTTGCTTTGTGCCTTTTACAGCACGCCCAGCCTCAGACGCATGTAAAACTTGCACACTCCCACGCAGAAATGAAAGAGAGAAAATGAATGTAGCAGAGATATTGTTTAGATTGTCCCCCCTATCAGAGCTTGTCAAGAAACTCTGATTTGAATGTGTTTCATTTGTCACAGAGACCCTGTGGTGTGGCATGAGAAAATCTGTTTTATTTAGAGACGCAAGTACATTCTGTGCTGCGTATAAAAAGGTTTGCCTATTTATATACGTGATCAGTCAGGATAATACCTGTCCGTGTTATTTTAATGACCACTTATCACCATAAGCACTACAGTAGATCATTTGTCATTCTAATTAAACATGGCTGGTTATCAGTGTCAGCCACTAATCACTTCACCACAAACCACACACACAGGCTGAAGTGGCGTTGGTTACTGGGTGATAAAAATCAGAATCCATTCATAAGGCTCTACTACCACCTGAGTCACAGCCATAATATTTTAGTTTACTTTCCGTTTTGAGCTTTGACAGCGTCTAACATTGCAGAAACACTGATAGTCATGAGGCAGACCATGTTAGATTCCATAGATCAGCAGTAGTCCAGAACAAACAGCTATTGATAATGACTGAGAACATTGATCCTTGTTGAGAGCAGCGGAGCAGTGATTAAAGCAGTGTGTTGCACCGCGTGGGACGCAAACAAGACGTACGCTATCGATGGGCAGTAATGGGGGATAAATGTGGTTCTTGTAGAGCTGTGTTTTGACAACTCTGAAGTGTCTGTGTGTGGATCACTGTTCATTGGGACATGTACGTTACAGTATGTGTTTTCTCTCTGTTTATATCTTGCTGCAGAATCATGTGTACGTCATACAAGCTAAGGTGTTGTATGAGAGCTGGGCTTTGAATGAGTCACAGCAAGCTTTTGTCCAAAAACTCCAAGAGGAAGAGAAGAACAAATTAAGAGGTGTGTTATTCATCATTAAGAAAGCAATTTTTTCTGCTCAAAACTTGGATATTATGTGTTTCCCAATGCACGTGTTTACTATTTCTTGGTAGGTTTGATTAGTTTTTTTTTGACACTATTACCAATCACTTTGTGTACAACACCAAAATTATCCCACTGCATGATATTTCCAGTGGTCCCCATATCAGTACTATAACCAGGCCTGATCCTGCTTAGCTTCTGAGATCAAATACAATCAGATATTCATGGTATTGTAGTGAAGAATGAAGCTGTATGTATTAAAGCTGTATGTAGTTAGTTTGGTTTTTCAACAGAAAAAGGCTTTTACAAATACAGGTTTTTTCTTACTAGAAAACGGTGTTATTTTTTGCATTCTGAAATGGCCTTTGAGTCATTATATGATGTGCGTATTTTCTAAAGCCCTGTTTATACGGAGGCGCTGTGACTGTAAAATGTTAGAGTTGGGTATTGCTTTGGCCTCCGGTTTACATGGAGATGGTGTTTCAGGGGGGTGAAAACGCAAGCGTTGAGAAACAGCCTCCAGAGTGGAACAGAACAGATATGCTGCTCAGCGGGGGTTGTTTCACATCTGTGTGAAGAAAAAGGTGTGAATTCTCTGCTGCTATGTCCCCCACTTCCCCGCACGTACATTTGGACAAAACCACACAAAGCTGTGGTTTCAGTTTCCATTTTCGCGGCTGCTGTTAAATGCAGAATAATGTGGGTGCATTCTTTCAAGTCTTTGCAACGGCCCGAGGAGGATGTTGTTGAGGAAGTGAAAATACTACTGGGGGTTGCATGTGTTGTGCTGTGAAGTTCCGCTGCCCACTACTGGTCGGGCGCTAGAACTACATTGTTTTTAGTAAGTAAGTAAGTAGTAAGTAAGTAATCTTTATTTATATACCGCCTTTCACAGACCAGAGTCACAAAGCGGTTTACAATTGTTATTTTTGGGCACTTGTCCTCTCACTCCACACAGAGATGGGAGCAGGGTCGCCAGTACAGGAGGCGCATGCCAGAACTATTGTACATATTTTTAGTGGTAGGGGAAACCAAAATACCCGGAAGAAACCTACGCAGACACGGGGAGAACATGCAAACTCCACTCAGAAAGGCCCTGGGAGCCGGGATTCGAACCCAGGACCTTCTTGCTGAGAGGCGAGAGTGCTATCCACTCAACCCCCGTGCCGCCCATAATCATCTAATAGTAGTCATCTAAACGCTGCGCAGGAGCCTGATCGTTTTTGCGAATTGCTTTCCAGCGTTTGCGCAGCGTCTCCGTCTAAACGGGGCCTGAGTGAAGATGGTCCTGTCTTTTTTACTTTTCTGTATGAAAAATCTGATAAAGACAGTGGAAACAACCATAATACATACACATGAAAACTAGTGATAGAACCAAACTATTTTCAGAGCAAGGAAGCAGATTGGATTTCATTACGTTTTGTGGTTAGAAAATTAGGTACCCCAGATTTAAATGGCAATTAGAAAGAGTGGCAAGTGAAAGAGTACAGACTTTAAAAGCAAGGACATCAGCTATGAAGTAGACAAACCATAAATAATGACTGCCACAATCCACAACCCTAAACTGAATAAACAACAACTTAAGCTTTTATGAGGTTAAATGTCAAGAAATGAAAGTGTGCAAACAGCAGCGTTTGGTTCAGTGAGTGTTTAGAGCATCTGTGTTGGCCGCCCTGGCTCTGTAATCACCCGTCTAATCAAAGCCAACCGAATACAGCTGCTTTACTAGATCAGAGAGCGATCTCTTTTGCCCACTGGTCTCAATAATCTCATACTCCACCGACTCAGCTTTTCTGCCTTTAATCAAGCCGCGCAAATTGGTTCGGGTGAAAAATGCCGTCTTTGAAATTTGAAAATAAAAAAAAGAGGTGCCATAGCCTTGAAAGTTTGAGCGCCTGAGGAGAGAAAGAAGAAGAAGCTTTCATTGAAATTCTCTTCTGTCTTCTAGCAATTGTGGCTTTGTTCATTTGCCTGACACAGTGATGAGAATGCATGTGATCTAGGCCTACCTATAGGCATCAGTAAACAAACTTGTTAGGCATACGCAAGTTTAAAATATTCTTAGATGAAAAAGACGCTTTCAGCACAAACAAAACAAAACATTTTCTTTTGAATTTATGGATGAAGTGCCTCTGTAAGCAGTCTGTTCAATTGTGCACTCACAGAGCAATGACCACTCAATTCTCCGGTGGTTTTTCAAAAAGCCTTGGAAAGTGGGTCAATGGGAAGTCAAATGAAGTTGGCTCTTGCCCCGTGGTGCCCTGGGAAATATCTCAGCAGGAAAGAGAATTCATTTCACCCAGTTTAACTTGTCTCAGTGGTGAGGCTCTGCCCTTGATCATGCTCCCTACATGCAACATTGAGACAGACAGCACCAGCACACACTTCAAACCTCTTCACAAGATGCTCGACAAGCTCGCTCAGAATACTACTTTATCACGTTGAAAATCATCCATTATTGAATAGTCGTACTTCCTTACATGAGCTAAAGCCATGCACGAGTGATTATGGCATCTGAGGATATTATTACCAGTGTTAACTTGTTTTTTGTTGTGGTACAATCAAGTATTAATGTTTGGATCCTAAATGACCAGAGCCTATCAGTGTGACTGCGATTAGATTTACCCAGGGAGAAAGCAAAAGCTGCTGGGGTTGAGGCGGGTGGCCGCTAAATGATAGATTATCTTCTAAGTCAAAACACTGAAGCTCTCAGTTAAGACTCTTATGTGCTCTACAGTGCAACAGTGCCATCTAGCATGAGAGCACACACACAGCACTCATCTATTCAATTAGGTATATAGGGTATAGTATATGATCAGGAAATGCTATTGAGTTACAGAATGCGAAATACTGGTACTATAATTAAAATGTATTGTATTTTGACATAAGTTCCAACTGTGTTCTGAATCTTTTGAAAACATTCGAGTTTTTTTTGCCTTTTTGGAAGACCTCAAAAGGAGCAAGCAGAAGCAAAAATAGCTTATCAGGGCCTACCCCTTTTATCACCTATTGGTCAGAGAATCATTGGAACACTTTTTTATGGTATATACTTTCTCATTTACATATATAAATAGCAAGTATCTGTTGACTTGGTGATTTGGGCGACAGTAGCTCAGTTGGTAGAGCATTGGCCTTTGGGCCTGAAGGTCGTGGGTTCGAGCCCACCGTAAGACCTACTTCACAACTCCCACTGATGACTGCTGTCGTTGTGTCCTTGGGCAAGACACTACTTGGACCCTACTTTGCCCAAAGCCCCAACTGAAAGATCTCAGCTCCTGTGGACTCACCACCTGCAGGAGGATCAGTGAGGGGCTGGTGCTCTGTGGACTGGGTGCAGCTCTGACTGCCACCCCCCCGACCCAGAAATGGATTAAGGGGAAGAAAATGGATGGATGGATGGATGGACATAGTGTTATTGTAATGTACCTATAACATACATCATAGGATCTTGTTATACATTTTATTATGAATTAAAAAAATATATACTCACCTCTAATATCACACTGATACATTTAATATCATTGTATTTGAAGCTAAACAAATACTGTAATTTTGCAGTTACTCAAAATTATCTTTCTGAATACATATTCTTGGAACTTGTATAATTATTTAAAACATATGACATTAGTCTGGACTCAGGGTACATTATTTCATGCTCTTTATCCAAGTATGTATAATCATTGTTTTTATTTTAGTGACTGCACCTGCATTCACGCCAGCACCCCCTGAACCTCAAAAAACGGAAACGCCCAAACCCAAGGCTAAGGGGAAATCCAAGATACAGGAATCAGTAAAAAATGAAGTAAGATTTGAATATTGCTCCATTCCGGTTTCTTACTAATGTGTCTGCTCAAGTATAAATCCTGATTTATTGTGCTGAAGACCATAGACCTGTCCATGGCAAACTGGACCCTGCGTTTAGTCACAGACAAAGAGGAAAACATGAAGGTGACTAAGGACACAGAGAGAAGAGATGAGATTAAATCCCTGAAAAAGGCTTGGGAGACGGCCGAACCGGGACGCGCTGCCAAGGTAAGAGTGTAGCCAGAATTATCAAAGTTTGCTCAGTAAACAAGATGCGTCATTGTTTTTGTTAGGCTTTGCAGTGTCGGCTCAAGTTTCTCGAACAATTCAGGAAGCGAGAAGATACGGAGAATACAGAAAGTCCTGGTAGATCTAACGGAATATCTGTATATTTCTTCTTTTGTATAGATTTTGTGATCATGAATTGTATCCATGTCAGTTACAGCTGCCTCAGAAGCCAATAAGAAAGAAGCAAAACCTCTCCAGTATGTTCCCATGGACTATACCCCCTTTATCAGGTACAATATGGCCAACTCTTTTCTGCTTGGTTTAGTACTGATCTGTATTTGTGTGGAACTTCAGTGCTCTTCTCAAAGCTTTTATATCAGAGGGTTATTTTAGTGTATTCACTGACAGTATCTCGCTGTGAGGCTGCGAAACAAAGGCACTGTCCATTTGGCTCAATGGTGTTCTACCTACGTCTTTTTATTTGAATATTTTTACAGTAGATTGTCATGGTTATACTTTATTAATATATACAGTATAATTCATGTTTATTTCAGTATTTTCATCTGATTATTCACTAAGTCTGAAAAAGCATATTCAAAAATGGACAATGAATCACATTATTCTGGGGGATGTTAAAATTTGTTCAAAGATACATGATTATTGTGGTTACTTTACCTTTCTGGGTCTGACGCAACAACCACAATTCTGAATGTGTTTGGCGGCAAGGTGGCTGAGTGGTTGACGCTCTCGGCCAACACAGGCCTTTGCTGAGTGGAGTTTGCATGTTTTCCCCGTGTCTGCATAGCTTTTCTCTTTTTCTCTTTTCACTAAAACCACGTACAGAAGACTATCCTGGCTAAATACAGGTTGACAAATTAAAAAAGGTTCTTCATGTGTTCGTGGAACTATTTATTCTGTTCAATAAGTTCAGATTTTCCAAGAAATCTTAAGTATTATTTGTTATTTGAACTTTTATCTAAATTTACCTTTTGTATGTCTGTTTAAATAATTTTCTGTTGTTCTTTTAGTTTTTTTTTAACAGATAATGTAATTTTAAGTTTAGTATAAGTTCGGTACTACCCACTGCCCTGTGTAAAATAGTGCACATGTAACGGCAAGGACCAGCCAAACGAGAAGTCTCTTTTGGCAGAGCTGCAGTAAATTAGGGCACCTTTAGTTGGCACATTACAGAGTCACGCCGGCCAGTACTAAAACGTGTTGTAGAGTAGGTGAGCCAGGACACTGTTAATAACACCTCCATGCTAGGACCTGAGCGCCCCTCTGTGCTCCTCTGCGATCTATTGGAACACATTAGTAAATCTCTGTTAGAAAAATGAGTAGGCATTTTTAGTGCGCCATGTTTTTGTAGTGCTGGTAAAAGAAGCAGCGGAAGGGTATTCGGTTATATTATTGGTTGTTTATCTATTTTTTGGCTGGTGCTCTGTGACTTGTGTGGCATCACTGACTGCCCCCCTGACCCAGAAATGGATTAAGAGGTAGAACATGGATGGATGGATTTATTTCAATTGGGGACATGACAATACATCACATATTACAATTACATTTCAAATAATTGTAGTCCTGTCACACAAATTAAAAGAATAAAAGAAGCAGAAAGAAGAAAACAAATCTTATGTTTCTTGCCCCTTTCTAAAGCATAAAAAATAATTAAGATGGACTTCAGCATTCCTTCATCTAACTGTTTATATATTAAAGAGTGACATGGTGGCTGAGAAGTTAGCACTCTCACTTCTCAGCAAGAAGGTCCTGGTTCGAACCTGTGATCAGGACAGGGTCTTTTTGAGTAGAGTTTGCATGTTCTCCCTGTGTCCTCCAAGTCCTCAAGGTTCTCCCACCACTAAAAAACGTGCACTAGCTGTACTCCCCTGAAAAAGAGATTCTTATATCTCAGTGGGACTTTCCTGGTTGAATAAAGGTTAATAATAAAAGCTGGGGTACCTAACTTAATATTTTTGTGAATATTATTTGTTTTCGTCCTAACGTGTAATTACAAAATGCTTTTTTTCAATTTAGACAAGGTTTCTTTTGCATACCAAGTATCCTACTACTGAAAGAGCTCCTTGAGTCACTATTTGATGATTTTGGCTGAGAAACAAGGGAGTATTCTCTTTTCTTTGTCAGTTTTATGTCTTAAAAGTCCATCTTAACATGTAACAGCTGCCAAAAAGTACAATATGATAATATGAAAGTTCAGTACCTTCAGGCAGCAACATCTACTTGGTTATGTATTTATTCATTTGATTGAGTTCCATTTCAATGTATTAATTATTTTCTGTGCATGAAAATTGGATTACTCTCAGCATTACTCTCCCAGCATGAAATCCAATCTGCAGTAATCATTTGGACAGTCACTATCAGGTGTCAGCATCACAATAATAATCTGACTAAATGGGCTCCTAAGATATCATCTATATCCAGTTTGTAAGATGGAATTCCAATTGGTTGCAACTGTATCTGTGGTTTTCATCAGCCATTTTTCCATTCCATTGGACTGACTGTGTATGTGTCATGAAATGTCCTGTTTCTCAAAATACACACTGGTATTGTATTTGATGATTTTAGTCTGTGAAATAAATTACCGTTCCAGAGGATTCTCGAACAACTCTATATTTTTCATATTTGCATATCTTTTTTCAGTCCTGAAGTATTTTATTACTAGAGAAAGGGAAATACTGGTGACCTTTGATTTACTCTTTTTTTTATTTTTTTATTTTTTTAGAAAGGAGAAGGAAGAACCAACGCTGTACACTTCCGAAATTGAGGAGTTGGAGATGAGGGAACGCATGGAGAAGATTCAGTCCTATCGCTTGGTTCGAGAAAATGTTCTGGAGCGCCGCAAAGAGCAAGAAATAAACACAGAGAATCTCAAGAAACATCAGCAGGACATGTTTGAGACTATGCAGGTCAGCCACAAACTTTCACCAATCATTTTTTCTGTGTAGAGGCCCTGCTCAGAAATACGTCTTCTAGCTGGAGAGTTCAAGTGCAGGTGTCCCGTCCCAGAAAAGGCTAGCTCCATTCATATGTGAATGCAATATGTCCGGATCCGGCCCCCCATCACTAAAACGTGTAGACGTGCAGACACCTTTGAACACTGTTTATAAGCAACATTTAACCTAAAATTATCAAATGCCATTGATAGTTTGCATTCATATAACATCAGCATCATAATAATACTGCATCAGTTTTATCTAGCGCTTTTTTCTGGACCTTCAAAGACGCTTAATTTTTATTTATATCGCGCATTTTTCAGACCAAGGTCACCCAGAGCACTTTTACAATGTTCAAAGTTCAGATATTTTTCCATTCACACAGTGATGACGCCGAACACACTGGTGCATCAAGGCCCCAACCAACACCATCCATTCACTCACCCATTATATTCATTCCTATTGTGCATGTTTTAATGGTTGGGGAGACCGAAGCACCCGGAGGAAACCTACACAGGCACGGGGAGAGCATGTAAGCTCCACTCGACTGGGATTCGAACTCAGGACCTTTTTATTAAAAAGCGAGAGTGCTATTCACTCAGCCGCCCACATGTCATTATTCTTTCACTCCGTACGCCGTGATAAACTCAAACTGTAGCCACAGCTGTCCTGGGGCACACTGACACAGCGAGGAAACCACTATGTGCCATAGGCCCCCCCAACGACCACCAGCCATTCACATACACCAGACTCATTCTAGGCAATGTGGGTGAAGTGTGTTGCCTAAGGACACAACAACATTTTGACACTTTGCAACTGCAGCCGCCCATGAAAAGTACCTAATTCAAAGAACCAATACACTTATTTGTATATAATTTCCATAGTTACGGAGGGTAAAACAACTGTTCTTGACAACCACTGACTACTGACAACGTTATCAAGTTAATTATAGTCCATATATTATGGAATGCCAGCTGGATTTGTTCCTTAATTGGATATGAATCCAGCTGTGAGATGCGTCTTCTGTTGCTAGCTACAGGCTGTGTTAGGTGAATAGAGAGCATTTGTTTACCCCTCCGTAATTATGGAAATGATCATGCAGGTGTAGTTTAAAATTGTGCTGTAGGGCAGCTGAAAAATCACTTACTGTATCTCTCTGAGTCCTGACGGGTCCTCTGAGTCTATAGGGGAGCATTCTCTCTCTCAATGTGGGCCTCTCCGAGTTTTTTCCTTGCCAATGCATTAGGTCAGTGTCTCCCAAAGTGGGGTCCGCGGACCCCTGGTGGGCCGCGAGGGTACTGCAGGGGGGCCGCGGGAGGTCATAAAAAAATATAAAAATAATATAATTATTATAAGGACAGTGGTGATGATCCTGACAAATATGGACAGTGATTATCTGCCCCTTATGAACCAATGCCTCTTGTATGTTTTTCTTTTTTTTCATCATTGCATTTCCTGTGTTTGAACTGTTTATTGATCTGTGGCTCGTAAAGTCCTTCGAGATTCCAGCCCTACTATACATTACATTCAAGTGCAATTCTATGTTAGTTATTGTTAGTTCCATAATGTTACCTTTCGAAGCTTCCCTTGATTTGATCTGTTTTTTGTGTGCAGGCAAAACTGTGGGCGAGTCGTAGGAAGCTGCTGGAAGTGGACGCGTGTAACGTCCGTCAAAAAGGAGACAAAGAGGAACAAGATAAACAAGCCGTGGAGGACGAGCAGGACGCCACGAAGCAGCCGCTCAAACCTGCCAAACCTGCCAAGAAGAAATGATCGACATTGGCTTCAGAGACTGTCAAACATTTTTCATTTGGGACACCTTTATTAAGTGCGATGTAGTGCGGTAAATCACACTTCTGGTGGTTGTACTTAAAAGGGTCGCTTGTGTGCAGATGCTGGATGCGATGGGCTTTTACAAATTGCTATGGAAGTGTAATACTACATGTTGCTTTACTTCATACTCACCACTAAGTACAATATAATCTGCCATAACACGAGATTAGCTCAATGTATGCAACAAGAAGTGCCAAATAACAATGAATGAAATAAATCATTAATGCACAGATTTTTGCTGCTTCAGCCCTGTTGTGTAATCCTTCTTTTCATCATCTATTGTCTGAATGCTGAGCCATTTCACCTACACTGAACGTCCCGCACTTTCTGAAGCCTGATTATATTCCACTAATCTTTTGTTTTCTTGAAGGTCACTGTATTGATGGTGCTGTGTACAGCCGAGCCCCAGCCAAGCCCCAGCCAGCTGAGTGCCTCTGATTGATCGCCTGATTGATATATTCTCAGTGCTAGAACCACAGAAGTTTATTCTTGTGAGTGTAAGAACGGTAAGGAGCTTTGTGTGGATTAAATTATGAAATAAATTTCCTAATTTGTTTCATTAGGAGAGCAGCAGCCTCTCAGGAGCAAGTGAAACACTGAAATGCATGAAACGTGACATGAAAAGGGAAAGGTTGCCATCTAGTGGCTTTGGTCTTCAATAACTTCAACATTCACAGATAAAATCATTTGATGTGTGATACCTTTATTTAAAATTGAATTTGCATAATTTTGCATAAATTCATTCATTCCCCACACATATCCTCGCAAATACTAGATGAAGATGTCATGCTTTGACCATCCCATAAATATATTATTGTGTTGACTTTAGGTTGCTTCACCTACAGCTCTTGAATAACATGAATAACATTTACCAACATATTTATGGTCGTATCAATGCACTGAATTGTTTTTATCCTTTTTCACGTCAGTGAAAACAAGACAGATTCTGCACTGCTATTTCCTTGTCAGACTGCATCTATTACACCATTATTCCTCTTGCGTGTGCCTGACACAGCTAATCCTAAAAGCCTTGTTCCTGGAACAAACTATCCCCACTTCTCACTATTTGTTTCCTCATAAGTACGAGTAGCACCGTGTTAAAGAGATATCACCCTCCTCCCTAATAGTCACTGACATGTGTATTAACATAGAGACTGTTTGTTAATTGGCAGCTGTTGTCTGATGCTTTGATGCAAATTTGTTGTGAGAGAGAGGAGCAGCAACTTAACCTTGAAAACAGTGTGAGTCTGCCTTAGATTTATGTGATAGGAACCCATGCAAGACTTCTTGGGCTAATCCTACTGCACTGTCCATCCATCCATCCATTTTCTTCCGGATGGCCCTCAGCAGAGGACCTCCGATCCCATTCTCTCGGAGAACCGCCCAAAGGACACCCCGGGAACACAGTCGAACGCCTTCTCCAAATCCACAAAGCACATGTGGACAGGTTGGGCGAACTCCCATGAACCCTCGAGTATCCGATGGAGAGTGTAGAGCTGGTCCAGTGTTCCGCGACCGGGACGAAAACCACACTGCTCCTCCTGAATCCGAGATTCGACCCTCGGCCGTAGCCTCCTCACCAGTACCTTGGAGTAGACCTTACCGGGGAGGCTGAGGAGTGTGATCCCACGATAATTGGAACTGCACTGTCTTCAACCACAAGTCAGCTGCTTCAGATTTAATAGACCAGCTAAAGTAAAGACACCTAGGAATATAAGAACTTCCCTGAATGGGTACGGTCAGGACCATGGTCAGCTCCCCCTCTCAGTACTTTTCTTAGGCTCAACAAAACTGTCTCAGAGAAACCTGATATAACTTTTATGGCACTGCAACCCACAGGGTTACATGGAAATACGTTGTGGCGCTCTACATAAGTGACACTACCCAAAAAAATCTGATTTTCAACTGAAAAGCAGTCTGATCAAGGAGGGAAAAAATGGTAAAATTCAAATGTAGAGACATTTACCCATTTTAATAATAATTGTGCGGCACAGTTTTTCAATCTAATATAAACAAAGCAGAAGTTTATAATTTTATAAGTATATAACTACACAACCAGTTCCATCAGCAGATCATAACCAAGCAATGACTTCTATCTGGCCCGGGTCACACAGTTGTCCTGTAATGAGGTGACACTCCCACTGGACACAAAAACCTCTGGAGAAGCGGCCTCTGTTAGTGCCACGTTTGTAGTGTCAAATACTATCACAATGGTACAGCGTGTCCTGGCATTGTTACAAATTGCCTTAAACATCAAAAAGCAAAAGGTCAAAAGAGATGTTATGGATTTGTGATTTGGCTTCACTGTGTTAATCGAGATGGTTTACTACGTCACTATTAGATACAAAAGATGGAAGACTGTGTAAACCCTAGACTAGAGCTTGGACAGTGTCTTTCCCTCTACATTCCTCCCCATCTTTTCTCTTCTTTCTAGTCGGTCTCGCTCTCCTGCCCAGCACTGCACGAGGAAAATCGAATCATGGATGAATAAAAAAGTCTCAGACGGCCAGGGGCAAGATCCTGTTCAAACATGAAGGTGAATTATTGTTTGTTTTCAGAGTCTAGCTTGTCCTAAATTGTAGACTATATCTCTTAAGTTACCTAAGTTTCAAGCCACAACAAAAGAACTATGTAAAATGCACATACTGTATACTCACACACACACACACACACACTGAATAGATTTATGCACGGCAAGTTTATTTGTATAGCACAGCTCATACGCAAGGGAACTCAAAGTGCTAAACAAAACAAGAAAACATTAAACATTAAAATCATGAATATTCACAAAACATTACAGTAGAGTGAAGATACAACCCTTTAGTGATTTTCTATAGAATACCAATTTTACTGTATAGACATGCTTGCATAGATAAATCACAGAAAGAGAATGGGAAAGTAGACAATGGCAACCTACTTCCTCATTCTTTCTCATACATGTACGCAAGGTCATTATGAAAAGCATGCGTATTTCATGTAACAGCTCTCCTTCCTTTTGTCGCTCCGTAGTCTTTACTTCATCAATGTACGCACATCACTTCATATACTTCCTCATCAATCAGCTGCTGTTTGAAGGTCAGCCTGAATAAACGTGTAAGCGCGAGCCTCAACAGCAGTATGTCAGGGCCCGTAGGGAGACATGGCTTCTGCTTCTGGAGACTTGTACTCTGACAGAAGAGCTACACCCAGTGCCGTTCAAACACAACCTGCTATGACAGCTGTCCCTCACTCAGCACTTGGACTCCACACAGATCTGGTGTGATTGAAAACGCCGTAACCGTTTTGTCTTCAGAAATTATATATCGTGTTATTATGTATCATGTTTTATTCTGGTCATATTCGCTGCTGCTAAAGTGCAATATACACATCTGTAAATGCCTCCAAACGTTTTATTTTATTCTATTTTATTAATTTATTACTTTTTATGTTAATTTTATTATCTATAATTCTAAAATAATTGATCCTGTTTGATGTGTGCAATCTGAGTGTTCTTATTTCCTCCTTTTATTCTGCTCTAATCTTATCTAAGTTTAGATTCAGAAAACCTATGTTGTGGATATACAGAATATCCAAAAGTGCAAAAGTCCCCTGTGTGCATAAGACAAATATATATAAATAAGCAAATACGAGGAAACAATTGTCACTGTGAAATCAATCAACAAAAGCAGATCTTACATGCTTGATGATCTTACAAGTGCAAGATCATTGTAGTGCTTTGTTTAAACTGGTGACACCTTGTAGGAAGACGCTGTTAGCTTATCCTGCATCTCAACGAATGTGTGTGCTAATACTGTAGATAAGGGTGCTCTCATTTGTTTTACCTCTCAAAAGTTGGAATGGGTTTTGAAAGTATTGGTTAAGTTGGATTAGTAAGGAAATAAATGACCATGTACCTGCCCTGAACGATTTTAACCCTTAGATGTTAACAGAAATTTAAGACTAAACTTGCCTTTTTCATCCGTAGATTTTACAGGCAAAATACACTCCATTAAGAGAAATGCTACCTTTTTAGCAGCTTTAGTTTGTGACATTTGTAGAGATCCTTGTGTTTCTAAGACTGTATAAAATCACAACAGCATTTGAGAGAGAGAGAGAGAGAGAGAGACACACAGGAATGGCAATAATAAAAAACACATTGGTCCATAAATGTTAATAAATGTGCATAAATGTCCCGAATTATCATTGTTCTTAGACCTGTTCTTTGGAACAAGCTCTAAACATGTTTTTAAAACACAATAGTAGATGTTACAAGATCATTTTCTATTTTTAAAGGAAATAATAATAACTAAAATTGCAGTCTTTGTGATTTGCTATTTTGCGGCCACTATGATCACATTTTACACTGTGTTCTTCCATACTACCAAAATGTCTTGACTTAATCCACTGTGTATGGAGTGAAAGAATAATTACATATGAAGCCTCTTCTAGTGTCCAAAAAGCAGTATATAAAAACCAGTCCATATTTTTAATTATTAATTTATGCACATTATTGAACAGAACTGATCATGTTTTGAAAAAGGTGACGGGTAGAGAGAGACATTCACTTGTTCATGACGCTGAAGTTAGCCATGTTTCTGGTGTGTGCTGTAAAGCTGTTCTTTCATCATATTGCTTTTGTTCAACTCTTTAGACAAGATCTTTGCCATTAATGATAACTGTCAGTCGCTCCTGGGCCACTGCAGCGTATTGATCTGCCGTATTGGTCGGCCTTTGTTCCTGTATGCTCTCTTCATGAAAAGCTCATTTGCTTATTTCTCAGGATGTTTCTGCACACATTTCTCCTGTTTTTGTTTGATAAAGAGATTTACAGTATACGTGTGCATGTACCGGTATGCTTTTGTTTAGCGCAGCAGCGGTTATGCATGACTTCAAAAGCCTGTCTCAGCGCATCTGTGGAGGAAAGCAATGCAAAAAAGCTATAGGTGAATGGAGCATACAGT